CCTGACTTTCCTACAGAGTTGAAAGCATCCATTTAGGTGTCTCTAAGAATGGAAATGAAGATAGCAATTCCTTAGTACAGACTTCCAGATGCTTACTCACTTTTCAGGAGAACTCGGTTGATTTTTGTTTGTTTAACCAATGCTTTTCAAATCATTGAGTGCCTCAGTGGTGAGCACTGCCTGCCCATGGCAACTACACTCCCCCTCCCCACCCCTATGTGTTCACTCCTGGCCCAGGTTCCCTCCCGTTCCGCTCTACTATTTCTAACTTACCAGGAGGTACAGGCAGAAGAAAAATACTTGTTCCCCTATCAGCTGCAATGTGGTGCTGATAAAGAAAGGCAAATCCCAAATCTATGATTTTGTCTTAGTCCTTTGGGTTCCTACCAAAAGATTAAGCATTTCTCAAACTGCATTTCCTAGAATGGTAGAAAACACAGTAGGCGCTTGGGCAACAAGATCCTGTGGTCAAATAAGATTGGGAAATGCTTATGTTCTCTCCCTCCCCTTGGGCATTTACCGTACATCCCGGGATCATGCAATAGATAAGCCTGTTTAAATTTGCTTAGTCTAGCAATTTCCAATGTATTTTACCATAATCTATCCTGCCCCCTTCCCCTCCAGAGCTTTTCTTCTTGAAGTCTAATATTTTCTGTAGTTCAGAAAGGGCCATAAGAAAGATATCATTGCGAATATGCAACTGGGTTTTTCAACAAACATTTAATAGAATATGACATTTTAGCCCCCGGAAGGAAGAGGACAGATGGAACAAGTTTAAATTGCATCAGGAAGTTCTGAGATTATTTTCCAGGAATGGCATCTTAATTAAGAACATTCTTCCTTTGGAAACATCTGATATAAGAAACAGCCAACTATCTTTGTGAAAATGGTTGGAAAGCAGCCCTATGAAAACGCTGGGCAGAGAAAACAAAAAAACACCTCCCCACCCCCCAGGATGTATTTTTAATAACAGGGAAGGTGGAAAGGGGAAATGTACAAAGAAATAGAGGGCCGCTTCATCTTCCCTTACGTAAAACACTTGTAGAAGAGAAGGCAAAATTTATTGTTGCAGAAGTAATGATCAGCACCGCCGGAGGAACAAAGCGCTGGGAGGGTCATGAAACACAGCTGGGAGTGACATTTCCATACAATGCTGAGGCCCCATAGATTCTGGAAGCAAAGCTCCAACTCTCTTATTTGCTCCCCTCCCTATCACTCAGTAATGATAAGAGAAACACAAGTGACAAAACCCACCCAAAGCCACAGTGGGTGAAAAAGAAATACTGACACTCGTTTCATTGTTGTTAGCCCTGGAACTGCTTCCTGTCTCCAACGGCAGTGTCTAACAATGATAAAGCCTTGCAATGGGCAAATGCCATCTACGGTGGCATTGGCACCTACAGATAAAGCAGCAAAGATAATCCCAGCACTCGGGAGTCTCATTGGATTTGACAAAGGAAGAATGCTCCTAGTACCCAATCTAGTACTTCTATTTGTGTATGACAGAGGGAGTAAAAGACAAGGTTGTTTTTCTTTATGTTTTGTAGTAAAATAATATTGAAAAAATTAAACCAAGATTTCATTATTCATCCCTAATTATCTGTCCTAAATGTTACCTTTTTTTTTTTTTTCTGATAGTTAGGAGACTGTATTGTTGGACATTTTGCATCCTGGCTGCTTAGAAACAACCAGGAAGGGTTCAGAACTCATGGTAATCATCACCGCTCTGTTATTTCTTTGTGTCTTTTGGGAGGTTTTTTTTTTTTTTTTTTTTTTTTTTTTTTTTTTTTTTTTTGGAGACAGAGTCTTGGTCTGTCATCCAGGCTGGAGTGCAGTGGCGTGATCTTAGCCTCTGGAGCAGCTGGGATTATAGGCACGTGCTACCATGCCTGGCTAATTTTTGTATTTTTAGTAGAGACAGTGTTTTTCCATATTGGTCGGGCTGGTCTTGAACTCCCGGTCTCATGTGATCCACTTGCCTCGGCCTCCCAAAGTGCTGGGATTACAGGCATGAGCCACCACATCTGGCCAGTTTTGAGAGTTTTTATGCTATAGAAACGAGAAGGAGAAGGAGAAGGAGTTGCACTCGAATTCCTGCCTCTGTTTCCTGAGGGGCCAAGAAAGATAACTTCAGTGTTTATCCATAACTAAATTATGGCCAACATAAAATGTAATCCTATACAGCTAATAAAAATATAAAAATATTTAATGACATGGAAACATATTCTAAAAAACAGATTAGAATTCCAAATGAGCAGTACAGTAAGATTTAATTTTGTTAAAAATGAAACAGAAAGGGCCAGGTGCAGTGGCTCATGCCTGTAATCCCAGCACTTTGGGAAGCCGAGGTGAGTGGATCGCCTGAGGTCAGAAGTTCAAGATCAGCCTGGCCAACATGGAGAAACCCTGTCTCTACTAAAAATACAAAATTAGCTGGGCATGGTGGTACATCCTGTAGTTCCAGCTATCAGGAGGTTGAGACAGGAGAATCGCCTGAACCCAGGAGATGGAGGTTGCAGTGAGCCGAGATCGTGCCATTGCACTTCAGCCTGGGTGACAAGAGCAAAACTCTGTCTCAAATAAATAAATAAATAAACAGGAAACAATGAGAATAGAAGTAAACAATAGCTGTCTCTGGGCAGTAGATTTGTGAGTGACCCTTATTTGATCCTCTGTGTTCTCAGAATTACTCTCTGATACATATTTTAACTACTTAACATTTTATAGAATATTTGTGGAGCAAAGTAATGAAAATCCACACTATCTTTCTTTAGCTAAATATAAACTAATGATGTATATTGATGAGTTTCTTTGTTTTCTAGGAAAAATTTAAAAAATTCTTTTTTTCTAGAAAACGCTGAGTGTGATGGTGCTGAGCTTCATTTTGAACTTGTTCCTGTGGAATGAACAGGGAATATCAATACTTCAGGGAACACAGACTATAGATTTCCTACCTCACTGGTTCAGCACATAAATACACTGAGATATGAATGTGGGGGGTTGGCTAAACAGAGAAAATATAAATATATTTTGAGTAAATCAAGAAGCTATAAAGAAGATCAGAGATTTGGAAAAAGACAGTTCTCATATTCTTCTTCTGTTATCTACAGGGAAGACCCTGACACCTCATAATGTCTGTCCCTGGTTTCTTCACTTATGAAATAGATGACCAGAGAATTTTGAATAAATTGTATTTGAATGTCAAATCTGGTTAAGGCATCGACTGCAGAATCTCATCAATGGTTCACAGAAATTTCAAATGCTTCTGATAAAAAGCAAGTAGCCACAATGACATGTTAGGAAAGAATACTGGCAGGACTAATATTAAAGAGATTAGTTTGGCTCAATACTTAAATACAACACTGCTAATAAGCTACATTGTAAATACAGATGTTTCTGCAGCACAGATCTCCCTGTGCTTACATCCATTCTGAACAACCTCATGCTTTTGGATCTCTTTACATAAAGCTCTTGGCATAAAGTAGAAGCTAAACAAATGATTTCTTTCCCTTTTCCATTCGAGTGGCTTAGTTCCCAAGAATGAATTAGAGTTTCAGTGGGAAGTTAACCCATGCAGAGGCAAAACTTGTAAATCTTCCATCATATGGGTTTATACAACTATTTCTAAAATGTGTGAGGTATTCCACAGTTCCTGCTTTCTAAGCTCAAGTATGTGGAGTATGATTTAACTCATCAGCTGATGCCCCATGGCCACCACCGTGCTGTGTTGCTGGCAGGTTTCTGAGGTTTGCCATGGGCTGCTGCTCCTAAACCCACCACTGGTTTCCAGTACCCTTTTCTGATCCTCTTACCCAGCCTCACAGCACCCCTTTCCAGGCTTTTTATGGGTTATTACCTCTATTACTGTATGTTGTAGCTTCTAATGAGCTTCCTTTTTTTATGAAAGACAAAGGAGAAAGAGGAAGGAGCCTGGACTAAGATTTTGGGATGGAAAAATACTCATAGCTTATTTTACTTTTTGACTCTGATATTAGACTGTTAAAGTTGTGGATTAGTTGCAGAAAATCTGCCCTCCAGAGAAGCATGCACTACTAAAAACAAACAGCAAAATTATCCCATATTCCCCAAACAAAATAGTGATGTGTTCCAGTAGAGTATAGAAACTATATCTGTATCTACAGACACCCCCCAGCAACTCCCATGTGCTCATATATTTCTGAGCCTTGCTATGTCATGAACTCTAATGATAAAGCACCTCACAAGAATGCTATGAGGGAGGTAGTATTATTATCTTCACTTTGGAGGGGAGGAAATGAGGGGTTTGAGAGGTTACATCCTCTTCCCAAGGCCACCTAGCCAGCAGTGGAGAGTGAGGATTTGAACCCTTGGCTAATCGGATGCTGTCATCCTGCTGCACTATTTCCTTACGGATCAATAGACTGACAACGTAGAGGATCTTTGCTTTCTTTTAATGTTATTTGCTTAGATGGGGACCATAAAAAGTTAACATGTTTGCAGGTAAGCAAAATCCTATGATTTAATCTAGCTTTGGATTCTTCCCATTGATTTACCTTAAAGCATGTGGATTGATGACTGGGATCTTTTATGAAATTGAACTTTCTTATGGATTTGAAAGAAAATTCAGGCAGGTTGATAGGTGAGTTCAATTTAAATCTTTTAGTGATACTATTGATGAGATATCTATGATTTCACCTTATTTATGTCTTTATTCCCCTAGTCTGACTGTCAGTGTAAGTACACCGTTCACAAAATGTGTTTGTAGAAATTGATAAACAACGTAAAATTACAGTACTTTAAAATAAGAAAGGATTTTAAAGATAATCTAGCTTTGCACTTTCATTTCTTACTATGAAACCTGAGGTTATGATGTATTCTTGATGTATTCAAGGTGATCAGGGTTGGCAGCATTAGCAGGAATAGATAGTATTATTATTGTTTTTTAAAGCATGGGCAAGATGTTTTATAATCTTATAATCTAGGACCTCATCTATATCATATTCTGTACCCAAATGTCTTACCTCCAAATCCATCAGGCACGTATGTTTTAAGAACAATATTGCAGAAAATTGTTGGCAGTGATAATGGTTTATTTCCCTCATTTCGAAGGGAAATGTGTCGGTATCCTGCTTGGAGGCCATCAAGCGGGAGGATCCTCTGGCCAATCAGCTTGTTGTTATCATCATACACTGCTATTCTCAAGACAGCCAGGTCTGGCAGGATCACCTGCGAAAAGAGAACGGGAATTTTCACTGATTTTTCCAATGCAGCACCCAAGAACCACGACTCTAAGGAGTGTGGACCAAATCCATGCTGTTCTTAAATGTTTCCTGATGTTGAAAGTAAGTCCATGATCAATCTGCATTCCCAAAAATGTACTGCATGAGCTATCGTGCCCAAGACAATGAGAAAAGCAATTGGAACATGTTTCCTGGAAATTATCTCATGAAAAAATGTTAGATGAAATGAATGTTAAAGATTACTGCTTCAACCTTTGCGATTGATCCTTGTCCCCACCCATATAATGGATGAGAAAAACGACACACTGAGAAATCAAGCCACTTTCCTTGATCTCAGAGATATCAGTGACAGAGTGGTGTCTGGGAATTGGGGATCTTGAGGTCTAATCCTGTGATCAAATATCTGGCATGCTCCTGACGTCTATATTTGTTTGTTTTTAAGAATATGAAAGGTATCTCTGAACAAATGCTTCATGCATAAGAGATAACTTTTATATATAAATTTGGGTCCTCCTTGTTTCCTGGACTCCTCAGTTTTCAGCAAATGTTGAGATATCAAATAGAGTAAGATGCGGTAGCTAGAAACATTAACATACTTTGATTCTAAGACACCTACTCCTGCCATCCCCAAACTGAATACATGAACATAAAATCTGAGTTCAGATGGCAGAAACCTGATTCAGTTACAAAATAGCAACATTACAAAAAGGGTATCCAATGTGTTTAATCAATCAGGAATGCCTTTTTATTTGCTAAAAGCAACCAGGACATCTTACTTGATGTGAGTGCTATGTTTAGAGCTAGACAATGGATGGTTGCCTTTTTACATCTGGAGGCTATAATTTAATTCCAGCTTAATGAAGATGAAGAGGAAAAATCACGGCAAATTAGCCAATTCCCTCTCTCTTGCTCCCTTTGCAGTGAATAGAGGGTTGGGCTTTGCCATTCTTGCCATGTGAGATTAGTGAAAAATACAACAATGACAAGAAAGAAAAAGTTTTTAAAGCGCTTGCTAGCAGTGAAAAAAACTATTTAAGTTCTGGAGAACAGAGAAGGACTCAGAATTGGCATCTTGTTTCTAGTGCCAGAACTATTATATATAAACACTAAGTTGGGTATTTCTTCATTCATCCAAAACATAAGAATACCTGAGTCAACTTTCTCAACTTCTAGAAATGTGAATAGGGATTATTCACTATGCCAAAGAACACTAGCCATACTGTGTTAGTATGTGCTAGAGCACTAGCGCATCCAGCTATAACAAATTGGAAATACCAGAGAAGGAAAAAAACCAAATCATAGCTGTGTATGTAATTTACACCATAACCTGACAGGGACAGAGAAGAAGACAATGGGATGCAAAGGTTGCGTGGATAACGGGATTCACATCCCAGGGTAAACTTAAATGTCAAAATGGCCTGTTTCATCAAACCCACGTTGATCTCCCTTCATTTGGTTTCTGTAAGCCAGTTACTCTATTCTGAAATGGATAATCCCTATTTTGTTAAGGCAAGAAGCCGATTATCTGTGTTGCATGATATACAAATGGAGCAGAACCAGCTGGAAATCTTGTGCCTAAAGAAGCAGCAAGAAATCATTTTGGTCAGGATGACAGAATAAGTAAGAAAGGTAAGTGAATATTCTTGGAGACAGCACTGTCAACATGTGGATTTTCCACTGCATCTTCAATAGACAAAAAATAAACCAAGAGAAAAGGTGAGTAAGAGATTAAAAACTGAACATGGGAAAGAATGGCTGTGATTGTTTTTAGGATCCAACACACAGTATTAGGAGAAAAAAGTAAAACACTAACAACAGCACAAGAAGGACAAGACCTGCAAGTAGGCAACAGGTACCACTCTTTCTGGAGACAGGACCATGCCAACTGACCCATGCACTGATGTCTACTGACCTAAATTTTGGAGTGCAGCATCTTACCTGACTACTTGGCTAAAGAAATAGTGTAAGTTACCAGTAACTTCCAGGGTAGGGAAGAACTCTCTAGTGCGCGATGGTGTCCACCAGCAAGGACTCATTCTAAAAGATGGCAAACCCAGAGCTGAGGCATTGCCATGCAAGAGATGGGCTCCTCCAAGGAGAGAGGAGAACCAAAAGGAGAGCGGGGCCAAATGGAACCAATGATCCTATGACAGCTACAGAAGTTAGCCATTAGGAGAAGAGAAAAAGAAGACGTTGTCGGTTGAATAAATGCCTCTGTATCGTGTAGCGTCTGTGAACTAAAACATGGTTCCCAAGTTAGTAGAGTAAGTTTGACATGCTGAAAATGTCCTACCTTCCGAAATACGAAAGACTCTTCATTGTAAACTGGATTTAGTCCATTATTCATAACCATACGAGTTCGGAATTCCTTACGTATAGTGTCAGTGGGCAACCCATACATATCCACTTCTACATAGGTGCCAATTTTCTTATCTGATAAGAATTGACCTGATATAACCTGCAGCAGCACAGAAATAGAGCAAAGAGAAATAAACTCTGTGTAAGCATCAGTAGCAAAAAGTAATCAGGAAGCAAGAAATTCTGTCTTTTGGGTGGGAGCAGGAATTTCAATTATCTACGGCGATAATGTATTCATTTCTATTAAACCAAAACATTACTGAACAACTACTATAGGCAGAAAGACCCCAACTGTTTCAAGCAGATATTCTACCTTCTAGAACTGTCTAGAAAAAGAACAAAGAAAAAAATATATGAATCATAATACAAATAAATAGTGTCCACGGCCTCTTCATCTCACATAAGTGCCTACACCTATGAAATGAAGTGATGAATTCAGATATGTCCTAAGACCCTTCATAGCTCTGAAATTCCATCATGCCATACTTATTAATGATTTCTTTTAGAAGTCTTGAAAAGAGACACACGAAAAAGTGAAGTTAGAATTTGTCTGTTGTTATTGATATTGACACTGGTCAGCTAGGACAGTTTTACATATTTGTAAAGACCAATGTTAGTCTATCTACGATAAAGCTATGGAGAGACGATTTTTCATTTAGTGTTTAAATGACTATAGCCATTTATTAGGGTCTTTTGTTTACATTATTTTCTAGCTAACAATTTGAACCAGCTTTTTTGAGGTATATTTGACATACAACAAATTATGTGCATTTAAAATGTACAATTAGGCCGGGCATGGTGGCTCATCCCTGTAATCCCAGCACTTTGGGAGGCTGAGGCAGGTGGATCACCTGAGGTTAGGAGTTCAAGAGCAGCCTGGCCAACATGGTAAAAACCCATCTCTACTAAAAATATAAAAATTAGCCAGGCGTGCTGGTGGGCACCTGTAATCTCAGCTACAGCTGCAGGAGAATCGCTTGAACCTGGGAGGTGGAGGTTGCAGTGAGCTGAGATTGTGCCACTGCACTCCAGCCTGGGCGACAGAGTGATACTTGGTGACAGAAAATAAAAAACGAAAAAATAAAATGTACAATTAGATCATTTGGGACATATGAGCACATCTGTGAAACTATCTCCATAATTAAGATGATAAACATTTGCATCATCACCCAAATTTTCTTTGTGCCCTTTTGTAACCCATTCCTCCCTGCCCTTTTTTCAAAGGCCAGCACTGATTTAATTTCTGTCACTATAATTTGCATTTTCTAGAATTTTGTATAAATGGAATCATGTAGCAGGTACTTTTTCGATGGTGTCTTTCACTTTAAGTAGCTAATAATTTTACTAGTGAAAAAATGTGTCTCATTTTTTAAAAAGGGGGTGGAATCTTAAGTCAAGGTTGTGAGCAGCACAAGGATCTTGCAATTTAACATGAAATATTTTGTAATTTATTTCAAGGACCACTTGCATATACATTTATACTACCTTGTGATGAGCAGGGGCCTTACCTGCACTGAGCAAGTGGCTGCAATAACGCCATCAACAGGAGTTTCAGAGAAGGGGTCAAATGTTCGATCAGGCCGCCTCATGAAATCTGGTTTGAGAAGGTACCTGGTAGGACAAAAGCACAGAAGTTTATTAGTAGGTTTTACAAAGACTAAAACACTCGCTAGTTGAAACAATGAATGGATGCTTCATTTTCTCCATCTGTAACATAGCAGCTAGGCTTTTAAGCAGAGAGTCCTAAGGATGGAAAAGAACATGCCTGCCCTTATGAACAACCTTAAAGAGCTGCTGGCTTAGTGGCAGGCTTAGTGGCATCCAGGACTTCCTGATCCTATCATCTTCTCTGGAACTTTTTTATTCCCTGGTCCCCTTTAAGTGCTTTTCTCTATATGTATAAAATAAAATGCAAAGAATAACAATGAAAAACCAATTATATTAGCTATAATTATCAAAATATAAAAATATGTGATATTCTACCTCTGTTATTAATTGTACTTTTAATAATGCATTAAATTATAAGATCTAATGGTAAGATCTAATTAGGATGACAATAATCTCAAAGCACAAAAATATTTTGAGACAGCTGTAACAACAGTAATGAACTATGACAATGTCTGTGATGAGAGAGTCACGAGTACCACTAATGTGACTGTAGATTGTTGTCTACATTCACAATCAAAGGAAACTGACATTTCAGCTAGAGGTAGGTGAAAATAAAAATAAATTTTTTCCCCATTTCTAGTAGAAACAATTAGGCAAGAAAATGAATTAAAAGGCATCCAAATTGGAAAGAAGGAAGTAAACCTACTTCTAGTCACAGATAACATGATCCCATAAATTAAAAAAAACTCTAAGGAATCCACTAAAAAAACTATTGGAATAAATAAATTCACCACTATTGCAGGATACCAGGTAAACATATAAAAATTCAATTGTATTTCTATAGAACGACAATGAACAATAAAAATGCAATTAAGAAAACAATTATATTTATAATAGCAAAATATAAACTACTTAGGAATAAACTTTTTTAAAAAAATAAGTGGCTACACTTTGAAAACTACAAAACACTGTTTAAAAAAATTAAAGAAGAGCTAAATAAATGGGAAGATATCTTGCCTTCATGGGTTAGAAGACCATATTGTTAAGCTGGCAATATTTCTGAAATTGATGTGTGAATTCAGTGTAATCTCTATCAAAATCCCAGCTGACTTTTTTGGTAGAAACTGACAAGCTAATCCTAAAATTCATATTGAAACTCAAGGGATCAAGAATAGCCAAAACAATGTAAAAAGAGAGAACAAAATTGGGTGTCTCACACTTCTTGATTTCAAAACTTATTATAAAACTACAAGATTTAATCAAGACAGTCTGGTACTGACAAAGAAAAACACATAAATCGCCGGGTGCGGTGGCTCACGCCTGTAATCCCAGCACTTTGGGAGGCCAAGGCTGGTGGATCACGAGGTCAGAAGATCGAGACCACGGTGAAACCCCGTCTCTACTTAAAATACAAAAAATTAGCAGGGTGCGGTGGCGGGCGCCTGTAGTCCCAGCTACTTGGGAGGCTGAGGCAGGAGAATGGCATGAGCCCAGGAGGCAGAGCTTGCAGAGAGCTGAGATCATGCTACTGCACTCCAGCCTGGGTGACAGAGCGAGACTCCGTCTCAAAAAAAAAAAAAAAAAAAAAGAAAAACACATAAATCAATGAGACAGAATCAAAGTCTATAAATAAATCCATGAACCTATGGCCAACTGATTTTTGACAAGGATGCCAAGACCAATCAATGGGTGAAAGAATAGTCTTTTAAATAAATAGTGGCAGGGTAACAGGATAGTTCCATGCAAATAAATGGATGAGTAAGTAAAACTGGATCCTTATCCTATACCATACACAAAAATTAGCTCAAAGAGGATAAAATAACTAAATGCAAGAGCCAAACTACAAAATTCCTAAAAGAAGTCATCAGGACAAATCTTATGACCTGAATTTGGCAATGGATTCTAAACATAATACTAAAAGCACGTGCAACAATACATTGGATTTTCTGTTGAAAACTTTTATGCTTCAAAAGACACTATCAAGAAAGTAAAAAGGCTAGTCACAAAAAGGAAAAGAATTGCAATTCATATATCTGATTAGAGGCCTGTATCTAGAATACATAAAGAACAACTCATCTAGTTTAAACAGTGGTCAAGTGATCTGAACAGACATTTCTCCAAATAAGATACACAAAAAACCAATAAGCACATAAAAAGATGTTTAACATCATTAGTCATTAGAGAAAAGAATATCAAAACCACAATGAGATATCACTACACATACACTAGGATGACTATAATTAATGAGTCAGATAACAATAAGTGTTAACAAGGATGTGGAGAAATTGGAACTCTCATATGTTGCTAGTAGGAGTGTAAAATGATGCATTCACTTAGAAAGGCAGTCTGGCAGTTCCTCAAAAAATTAAACATAGAGTTACCATATGACCCAGTAATTCCATTCTTATGCATATAACCAAGATAAATGAAAACATATTCATACAAAAACATACAAAATATGAACATTCATAGCAGAATTATTTGTAATAATCCAGAGATGGAAATAACCCAAATGAATGGACCCAAATGAGTCCATCAATGAATGAACGTATGGCGCAAAATGTGGTATATTTGTACAATGGAAAATTATTCAGCAATAAAAATCATAAGGTATTGATACATGTTACAACCTGGAGGAACCCTGAAAACACTATGCTAAGTGAAAGAAGCCAGGCATGAAAGGCCGTATATTATGTAAAATCATTTATATCAAATGTTCAGAATAGGCAAATACAGAGACAGAGGGTACATTAAAGTTCCTATTGGGAGACCAAAGCTAAAGGATACAGATTTTGAGGCAATGAAAATGTTCTGCAATTTATCCCCACTATACAATGTCTGCCCCTCACGTCCACTGGGTAGTGGTCATATAATCACACCTTGTCCAGATTCCATAATTTCCCTGAAACATATGTCAAAAACCTTAAAAAATTAAAACTTTATTAGAAATAAGAATAACCATAGATTTAAAGAATCCAAACCATAAGTAGTATATAAATGAAAATAAAAGTACTTTTTTTCCCAAAAGTAAAGGTTTGCTTTTAAATGTAAAAGAATCAAAATTAGGGGAACTCAAAACTCTAAATTTCCTTAGAAGCATAACTTTTATGAATTTCAAGTCTAGATGATGTCAACTTCATTATCTTTTAAAATACAACCCAAAAGGGATCCTGAGTCATGATATTTTTTCTTTAAAGTTTAATGTCACTTTTCTTAGTTTTGAAAAAGTCACCATTCATTGTTACCTTCTAAGTCTGAACAAACAACAAAGTGTTAAAAATATTCCCTTACATTTGATAATCTAAAAAGGAATCTTTAAGAGACAACACTGATTTTTTATGAAGAATATAGAAATTTACACAATTGTTGAAATGTTAAAGGTAATTTTGAACACTCTTGTCTCCAAGAGAATGCACCTCACAATATTAATATAAAAGCTCTCTAACTATATAGAAGAGATTATCTTCTGTATTCATGAAGTTTTAGATTTGTAGCTTTTTTTTGTGGCTAGAGTTGGCAATGAGAAAATATGGTGATACAGCAAAAGGTAAAGAATCAGAATGGAAAGTAGGTGAGCAGCTACAATACTATGCTTGCATCTCCGAAGGAAGCCCACCAGCTTTCTCTGGAAGGAAAACCGACACAGACTGTGGGGGGAGGTAACGATAGTGGTTCTGGCTTTCAGGAGACGGGCAGCATTTGGACCTCAGCTGTGGCAAATGAGGGATTTTTGCCTCCTGAGGAAGGTTGGGACTTGGATGAATCCAGAACTGGAGTCACCTTTCCAGTCCTGAATCTCCCTGGGAAGGAGTGTCCAGAGATTCCTCACTTTCCACAGTCCTTTGTTAAAGATCAACAGCCCCTTCCCACCCACCAAAATAAGAAACGGATCATGGTGACATCTCAGGGTCAAAAACATTCTTCCACATCCCCCCGTTCAAATCTGCATGGAACACTCATCTGTGAAAGAGTGAATTGATCCAAAATGAGAAATGGCAGGGGAAAAGGGCAAGAAACCCATATCCAATTCTCCAAAGCAGGCAAGCTCTGGTGAAATGGGTTCATTTTGTATACTCGAAGAGGGTAAAACAGAGTACGTAGAAGCTTGTCAGGACCATGAGGTAAGTCCTGGCCTGGGATAGGACACTTAGCAAGCTTTCTTTGAAGGTCAAAGGAGCATCTGTTCTGGGTCCAAGGCGGTCTGAGAGAGCAGCAGATGTTGCCTCTCATATCCCTGGTGGCTGTCAGGGTGCAGGGACCTGGGGTATTGATAGGGAAGCTGAAGCCAGAGTCTGTCACCAGAGCTGGCTATGCGGATGTGCTAATTGTGCAGTTGTACAGGGCCCTGAATTCAGAAGGGCCCACACTTGGTTTAATGCTTGGTTTTATGCTCTGCATCCACCATCCTAAAATTCTCAGGAGCCCTTCATTTTCATTCTGCATTGGGCCCTGCAAATGACATAGATGGTCTGTTTGGTGCTTACTGGTACAGAAAATGAACTCATTCCAGACATCAAGGTCTGTGTGATAGGCACAGGCACAAGGTCAAAGCCAATGGCAAGGCAGGGATCCAAGGATTCTCTGTGGACTGTGTAGGGCCTTGGAAGGCAAGAGAGGGCGAGAAGAAGGGTTGCCAACCAGGTGGGTGGATAGGAGCCCCAAGAATGAGAAAATGGGGTCATAAGGAAACACATCCTATTTCATCACACCTAAGATGCCATCAGTTGTCCAACATGCCATTTTATGTAGCTGCAAGAAAGCAAAATGACTGTTGATTATAACTGCAAGTTGCTATGCATTATAAGACACATTCCAATTTGAGGATATTATACAGTAACCTGCTTTATTTGCAATTTTGCTTTCTGAGGCTTCAGCTACCCCTGGTCAACTCTGTTCTAAAAGTATTAAAATAGAACCTAATATAAAAGTTGAAAAATAAAACTTTGAAATAAAAAATCGATTTTAAAAGATAGAAAACCCAATAGGAAAATGCGTAGAAGTTCTTCACAAAACAGAATACCGAAATAGCCAATAAACATAAAAAAGAGAAAAAATTAAGATATTTTGAGACCACATTCATATAACTTTTATTACACTATATTGTTAAAACTGTTCCATTATTAGTTATTGATGTTAATCTCTTACTATGCCTAATTTATAAATTAAAATTTATCACAGGTATGCATATATAGAACCACAGTATATATATGTTGGGATTGGTAGTTTCAGGCATCCACTGGGGTTCTTAGAACGTATGGCCTGTGGGCAAGGGAGAACTGCTGTGTAAAAATGACCTCTGAATCATAAAATGACATACTATTTTGATATCAATCACCCACTTTCCTATGAAAGCCTAAAAAGATTTTAGATACTAATTTACACTATTTTGTTTCATTTGCAGTTAGGGAAATGTCTTCCATTTTTCCATCTTCAAAAACGAGACTGTTAAAAGCACTGCTCACTTTCCTGGTTACATGCACACTTACTCGGCCCAGTGGTGTGCCCTCCCACAAGATCGGCCAGGGAGCACAGAAGGGGTTCCCAGGGGGATTTCCGACATTTTGCTACAGTTGCTAGATCCTAGGGGTGTTTGTGTACTTTGCACATTGATGTTCTGCATAAAACAGGGATTGTTTGCCTCCACAGGCCTCCACAGAGGCACAGAATGCCTCTTTAAGAAATGCAGTCCTCAGACTCAGCCGAAAGGGGCAGTTTTTAAAAGTCTTTGCAGGCGGGTGGGAGAACCACAAGGGTGACACAGTGAGAACCATGCAGTGCCCCAGCTTGCCCGAGCACCAGGGACAGGAGCTCCTGTGCAGCACTGGGCCCCACATCTACCATCACCATGGAACACAGAAGCATGCAGGTGAGGGCAATTTCTTCTTTTTTCCCTGCCAGTGACAGCCTTTGCCACCAGCTGGGTGTATGGGAAGGGGAATTAGGAGATTAGAGAGTCAACGGTATCCCTAATACTTTATCAAGCTGGGCTGCCCCACTGCACGGGCTATTTTTCAGCCTTTCTGGTGAGGTGTATGCTTTCAGTCACATAGTGTCCAACACATCAACACAGAATTCAGGCTAAAGTAGCAACAGTATCCTTGTTTGTGAAGGTATTTTAAAATAAATGAATGGATTTAAAAATGACCAATGAGGTCAGGCATAGTGGCTCACACCTGTAATCCCAGCACTTTGGGAGGCCAAGGCAGGCAGACTGCCTGAGCTCCAGAGTTCAAGAATAGTCTGGGCAACATGGTGAAACCCCATCTGTACAAAAACTACAAAAACTAGCCATGTGTGGTGGTGGGCACCCCCAGCTACTTGAGGGGTGGAGGAGGGAGGACAGATTGAGCCCAGGATGTCAAGGTTGCAATGAGCCACGTTTGTACCACTGCACTTGAGCCTGGGTGACAGAGCGAAACCCTGTCTTAAGAAAAAAATAAATAAATAACAGTGGAGAGAGTGAGATACTGCACATGCTAATGATGGCTAAGCAGAAACTCTAGGAAAAACAAACCAAACATAGGATTGTCAGGACTTTTTTTTTTCTTTTTCTTTTTCTTTTCTTTTTTTTTTTTTTGAGATGGAGTCTCACTCACTGCAAGCTCCGCCTGCCGGGTTCACGCCATTCTTCTGCCTCAGCCTCCCAAGTAGCCGGGACTACAGGCACCCGCCACCTGGCCGGCTAATTTTTTGTATTTTTAGTAGAGACGGGGTTTCAGTGTGTTAGCCAGGATGGTCTCGATCTCCTGACCTCGTGATCTGCTAGCCTCAGCCTCCCAAAGTGCTGGGATTATAGGTGTGAGCCACTGTGCCCGGCTGTCAGGACTTTTTTTTAATACAGAAACAATTCTACTCCCTGCATCAGGCCCAGCTGCCAGGATTCCTCATTGCATGTTGGACAGCTGATGGCACCTTAGGTGTGATCACTGAGGTGGGCGAGGAAAGTGCTTTAAGCATCACTGGGCCACTGCACGGTTCCAGAAGTGAGCACAGCCATGCCTGACGGGTCCTGTAAGAGCCAGGAGTGCCAAGGCTGCCTCCCTGGGGTCCTTAAAGGACGACTGAACAGAGCACTCCTTGAATTTTGTAATATCTGTGTGTGTGATTGATCACAGGGCCTTAAGCTTTTCTTAAATCTCACTTTTGCACAGAAATGTGCAGTTCCTGAAGTACTTTTGTACACATTCATTCAACCTGAGCTGTTGTAAACTGTTAAAGAAAAAAATGTACCCAAACACTTGTTAAACATGGTAAAGTGGACTTTATTCAAGGGGATAGGGAGCCGTGGCAATAGGTATAAGGGCTCAAATCTAACCTCAACCAGCATACATGGAGATTGAGAACCATGGAGTAGGGTAAGGGCCAGCAGATGGAAAATTTCTGTGAGGAAACATGAAGGATAAAGATTTCTGGCCAAACTGACTTGATAGGATTATTGCTGAAGGCAGGCCAAGGTGACAGGATATCCAGGGTGGTCAGATACCAAGGGCTGGGGATTTTCCCTAAACTGAATTAGCACGATTCTTGCTCAAACTGGATTCTACAGTGACTGACAGGGAAACCCAAAGGTGGGTCTCATCAGAAAGGACTCGGTTTTTGTCAAAGGACAAAGTCTTTTTTAGTTCCCTGTTTTGTTCAAGAAAAAAAAGACATTTTTTTTTTTTTCCTTTGAGTACAACAAACCCTGTGTGGCAGGTGTCACTGTCTTCATTTTATCAAGCAGAGAAGAGAGGTTCTGAGTCTAACACACCTGCTGTAGGCAACACAGAAAGCACTAGGGGCAGCTGGGAGCTGAGTTCAAACCCTGATCTTTAGACTCCCAGCCTAGGGCTTTTACTCACAGAAGCCCTGGGACTTTATGCCTTGGCCCGCTACTTGTGAGAGGAAGAGGCCTGCGAAGCAATTTATGTGAAAAATCTCTTGGGTTGGAACACTTGGCATTAAATAACAAAATTGCTTTCACAAAATTCTGAAATATGAATTCGGAACTTTCTCTTCCCAACTACACACATTTTTTTCTTCCAAAGCACACACAGCAGAGGAAAATGTAGGGCATGCTCCAGGTATGTAAGTGGTGGGTGATTTGGGGAATAGCATGGTCACCGTGTGGGCAGCCATACTGGCAGAGAACCATTCACCAGGCAGGCAGAGGGAGGGAGTGTGCACGTTGAAAAGTCATTTCTAACTCACAACTGCTGAAAAATGTTATCTTGACTGGCAGTTTTCAGTGAGAAAAATTAAGACATCCAATCAGGTGAGCCACCATGAAGAAATTCCTAATGGCATCAATATGACGGGATGGTTTTCCATTGGATTCCTCTAGAGGCCTTTGGGCAGTGGTCTGGAGTTATCAATATTTACTTGCTTGGGGACAGATGCATGAGGCCGAGGTGGAGTGAGGGGATGACCACATAGTTTTTCTTTTTTTATCTCTAGAGAATTCTAATTTTATATTTTCATTTAACCTTTCAGTGTTTCCGTGAAATTGACATTTCCTATTTCACTTCTTGGTTCAGTTTTCAAGATTGCTATTTAAGGAAACTAGGATAATATTCACAGCATTATTCTTTGATAACTGCTACTTACAAGACACAACAAAGAATCAATAGAGGACAAAGGTTTGAAATTCAGTTTGACACACACAACTTCATTACATATGAAATTAACTTCGTTACTTGATTTGTCCTAGGTAAAATGCACATATTTAAGGCCTACATCTCCAGTGAATGTCCAAGTGTGCAGGGATTATTACCTGTCCTGTAATAATCTCCTCCACTATTGATTTTAAAGTGAGAGGATTAAACTCTAGGATATGTATGAACTACTTCATTTGTGACTAAAAAAATCCAAAACCTGCTTAGTAAAATGAGGTAGATGAAGAATGTATATTTGCAAATATTCTCACCGCGCCCAGCCTATTCTCTAGGTATTTCATTTGCTTCTATTCCATCCCTCAAACCCAGCTTAAATTCTGCAGTCTCTAATTGAAAATGACATGGCTTCATTATGGCTGTAGTATGGAGTTCTAAATCTAGATAACAGTTTAAATCACATTACTCACCCGCACGATCCATTATACTCAAATTTTCCCTGATTCAATTGCATCGCTAAATCTGTCAAGAGACAAAAATAATTTAGCATCTTGTCTTCCTAGACAAAAAAGACCCTGATGGGGTGATTTTAAACAATAGGTATCAGATTGCTCCTAGGCCCTGGTTCCTCTTTAATACTACAAGGTTCTGCTTGGTCTATTTAAGGCATACTCTCTTTCATGTCGAACTGACCGCATGGTCTATTTAAGGCATACTCTCTTTCATGTCGAACTGACCGCATGTTTCATTTAAATTAAACATAAAATGTGTTTTCATAAAGACCATGCTAAAGGTCACTTTTAAAAACGGATTCAATATCGGAATCATACCATTGTTCGATGAGTACTGAGAGCAGAGATATCCAACCTGCTACAGTGGGAGAGGATGGGTCTCAGGATCCCCGGGCAGAGGAACACTGGAGATACCCGGGAGGGTGAACATGAAACTTGATTTAAAAGATTCGAAAATGAGCTAGCTAAGTATCTCATAAAACTCGGTGGCACGCTTCCACGATGGGACGCAGGGGGAATTATTCCAGTGGGGTCTACGCTGGCAGTGCATGGCTTGTGACTTTTCTCTTGCAAGTGAATAAAATATTTTCTTTCTTCCCATCAGCAAAGGAAATGGGCAAACTGATGGATATTTTTTCCTCTTCAAAATGTTGTGTTTAACCTAATATTATAGAATAAAACATAAGCTGGCCTAGTGAATAAACTGTTTAGAGCCATTTAATCCATATTATGAACTCATTGACAACTGAGAACACAAGTTGGCCCCTTTTGAAGTAAGTGAGGTCATCAGGGCCTTGTTACCGGACTCCAGCTAGAAACACTCAGGGATTGTACTGGTACCTATCACGTCACAGTCTAACCTAGCAAGCACTGTGGAGACCCCATGCAGAATGGCGACTCCAGTAGGAGGAGCTTCCGGTCACTGGGGAGGCTCCCTCAGGGCATGGGAAGTAGTCAACTCACACTCATGCTGAAGGAATGAAAGTCAAAGGACCTTCCACTTAGTCCAGATAGCAGGGAACAAGGTGGACAGGGATTCTTAAAACACAAAATAGATTTTAAAAAATTCTCAAATTGGGAAGCATGGGCAATACTCTTATGTAGCAAAGAATTGAAGGAAAAAAGCGTTTTCTGGTTTTGTTGTATTTCACCAATTGTAAGAACCATGCTGTAGAATTGACCATATACAGTGAATAGGTTTTGTGGCATATTTCTATTTTATTTCTGTTTTGCTACCTCTAATCTTAATACTGTGATCCTAGGCTCTTAAGCAAACCTCAAAAACTTTAAAAATTTGTTTATGCAATTATAAAAATTTACTCTTTTCCTTCCAGAAAAAAAGAAAGTCATTATATATTGGAAACCTGTCTTTGAGTACACTTTGGAGGACCAAGTCATAGATTAGTATCTCTTCAAATACGTAACTCCTTATACACCATTTTAGGGAAGTTTACTTCAAAATATTCTGTACTTCTTTGGTGAAGTGCCACTGCGTCAGTCATATTTGCTGAATGTTCACAGTGGTCAGGGTATTTGCCAAAGGAGAAATGATTCGCTGTTGCTATACAAAGATACTCAAATTCTTTTCACTTAATTCTGCCTCTGGAAACAAAGATAACAACTTTGATCCAAAAGGAAGACAAATGAGCAATATTTTGGAATACGGGATAATGGTTAGCAGGAATACTCATGGCACTTATGAAAGGAATTAAATTTCAATCACAACACATTATCTTCTACCATTGTTTGCTCTATTTTGGGTTTTTTAAAAATTTCTCACCATTATATAAATCCAATAACACATTGCTTTGCCATATGTCTGCTTCCTTTAAAAAATGCCCACAGCCAACTGATGGGAAGTGCTGGCACTATCCTGTCAAAGTGTTCTCATGGAATTTGGGGTCACTGGACATCAGCTCCTACCTGGGGTTTGATAGTTCAGCGAAACCATCTGGCAGCCAGCGTTCCAGAAAATCTGAGGCATGTAATTACTGGAATCGACTCGGCCTCCCTTGGGGTAAATGCGACTCATTTGCCGTTTGTTATAACTGTGTAACTTATTAAGGAAAACAGAAAAAAAGAGTCCTACAGCAGAGAAAAATAAACAACAAAGAGCTACAACAACAAAGGTCTAGGCCAACAACAACAAACGAGTAGACAGCACACAGCAAATTTCACATTTACAAATGATGCTTAAGATCACAGTTCACTGTGTGGATTATAAAAACAGTTTTCATTTGGGCAGATTGTCACAGCTGCCATGGTCTTTCCCACATATCATTTTATTAACTCTACCATCAGACTGATACATTAGCCATTTATCTATTTCAGAGGCTCCTGCCAAACCAACGTGAGTCAACCACTCATTCCACTTGATACATAAGGATACTTGACAAATTCAATTGCATGTGTCTTCAAGTAGCCAAGACCGACTGATTCATTAAAAGAAGACATGTTATAATGAATATTGCGTTCTGTAAAAGAAAAGCAAAGATGGAGTCAGGAACCCTGTCATCAAACCCTCAGCGAAAAACAGCAATAAATAAATACAATTACACCCTGAATCACGAGGCCTTGGAGGCTAATGCTACATTATCATGTTAGTAGCTCTTACTTTCATTGACATCCTGTGGATGGAGACATTTGTCTTTAAAAAAAAAAAAAGTGCTGATTTAAATTGGGAGTCATTAGAGAAATTACATGTACCCCAATTGCCACAGTTATCCCTGAAATATGAATTTTTTATGATAATGATGATTATGATGGCTTCTCTAGCCCAGAAATGAAGTTTTTAAATACTTCTTACGTTTTTTTGAAAACCAGCTTTTGATTAAAAGGGGTCTTGTGAATGCACGTGGGAACAGAAGAGGCTACATGGCCCAGCACTAACAAATCCATAGTCTTTCAGCGCCACCTTGTGGGTGAGGTCATGAATGACAATGTAATATCACCCACATACCAAGGTGGCTTCTATGGTCTGTGAAACAAAAATAAGGTGAGGTGGAACAGCTCCCATGCCCACAAAGACAAATGGCAGCAAGTTAGATACAAGCTTATTAGCACCATAAAAGAAAATCAAGCAAAAAAGGCGATTGCATTTAACCTTTGGTGTTACCTTCTGCCACATGGAAACCTTGAAACTTTACAGGCTGGGCGTAGTTGATCATTGTGGACAAATATGGATGGATATTAGTGGTAGCACCTACATATTTATAAGATGCCATCCACGCCTGCTCATCTTCTACAGTTACCAGGCCCTACAAGCACAAGGAAGAAAACATGTAAGTCGATGACTTCAGTAGGACCCATGGATATGTGCTGCAGATTTCCTTAATAAAGGTAATTGCACACACAAAAATTGAAAGCTAAAGACTTTTTCTTCCTCAATTATATAAAGGATACTTTAAGAGAAGTTAGTGTCTATTGTAGGTCTAAATAATGCAAAAGGAGGTAATCATAAAATATTAAGCTGATCTTACATTTGTAGGATATTTTTAGATTTTTAAGGGACTTCAAAATATTCAAGAAATTACTGGCCAGGAATGGTGGCTCACGCCTTTAATCCCAGCACTTTGGGAGGCCAGGAGTTCAAGACAAGCCTGGCAAACATGGCAAAACCCCATCTCTACTAAAAATGCCAAAAATTAGCTGGGTGTGGTGGCGTGAGCCTGTAATTCCAGCTACTTGGGAGGCTGAGGCAGGAGAATCGCTTGAACCCGGGAGGCAGAGGTTGTGGTGAGCTGAGATTGTGCCACTGCACTCCAGATCAGGCAACAGAGCAAGACTCCATCTCAAAAAAAAAAAAAAAAAAAAAAAGGAATTACTATATTGGACCTCACAGCAATGCTATGAAATAGATACAGCAGGTATTACTCATATTTTTTTACAAATTGAGGCACAACATCAAAAACAGTGACTCTTGAACATTAGCGTGCATCAGAATCACCTGGAAGGCGTTTTAAACTAAAACAGATTCCTGGGCCCCACACTCAGAGTTTCTGCTGAAGTAAGTCTGCAGTGAGGCCAGTCATTGCTGTACCTAGTTCCCAGGTGCTAATGATGCTGCCTCTTTGGTGACTATGTTTCACTGTAGCACTCTAGAATGTAAGCCACATACACACATGGTATATAGTATTTTAAAAAGCACTTAATCTTAAAAGTAATCTAATAACTTGCTGCATAGGACATACTGAAATCGCATTACTTTGCATACAGAAAAAAAAAGCAGATTAGTTTATTTCTTGATAGAAAAAACAACAACAAAACCAGCAACAAAAATAATACCTTCAAAAGTGATCAATATTTTTGCTGAGAACTTTGCAAAGCTAAATATCCTGCATAGAGTGAATCTAGTTGGATATATTCCTTAGTTGCATGATGTAATCCATGAGTTAAAAAATGGTCAGACGACTTGTTTGTCTTAATTGATGACTTAACAATTTGAGCATTCTAAATTATCAAACTGATTTCACCAATAAAAACCTGAAATAATAATCAAGTAACGTAACTTGGTTTTGTTTTTGTTTTTATCATTTTCTTCATGCGTCCTTCTGCTCCCCCACCAAACAACGGCCATGTCTGTTCCTTCCATGTGTGTTTGATAATAAGAAGAAATACCACCAGTGCTGTGTGCTGGGCACCAGCATGAGTTCTTGCACGCACGGTCTCATTACCGTCTGTGATGCGTAGTGGGGATTAGAGTCCTACCCACTGACCACATGAGAAGATTGACGCCTTGAGAATTAAAATAACTTAGCTAATAAATGGCAATGACCGAATGTCAATCTGTACACTGTTGACTCCAATTATGAATGATGAGATTCTAGAACAAGAGAGTAAAGTACTCACAAATATTTTGGGACAGGTCTGTGACCATATTTATTCATAATTCTTTCAAATTTAATATTTAGAGGGTGAGAAGATAGGATCTCAACTCCAAATAGCAGAGGACCCCATAGGCAGCAAGGCAGTATTTTCTCAAGCTCTGAAGTATGAGAATGAAGTTATAAGGCAAACTTCTGCCTGTGGCTGTCAGTCTCACTGTTGTAGGATAAACCATAATACTTACTAAATAAGACCACTTTGATCATCATGAAGAACTTCGAAGAGAATGAAAGTGAAAATGTAACTTTATCTTCCCTACAATAAGGCCAATATCTAATAACATCAAGTAATACTCCTAGAAGTTATGCAGTGTAAAATTAATCAGTGATCTTCCAGAATGTCAGTGTACTGGGAATTAAGATTCTCCTATTATGCTACAATATGGATTTGATGACCTATTTGCTCATTTTTATGTTCAAATTCAATATGCTGATGATCATGTCGTTCCACTACAGGAACGAAATCTCTAATTCCAATGAAGAAAATGCCTTACTGGATTAAATACCTACTTTTAGGAAAATCATCTTACTCACCTGCCCTAGTTTTGTGATTTTTATCAGGATTTAATCATTTTATCACCACAATTAATTCCTTCCTTTGAAGATGTTTTAAATTAGATGCATCTGATTTAAAATAGGCAAGGGAATTATTTTGTTACCTTTTTGTTGTTTTCATGTTCAAGGTCATCTGAGGCCTAATTAGAGAAAGGAAATAATTTGTTTACTCCTCTAAAGGGCAAAATTCCAAATTTATTAGCCATACATACATAGATACTTAAATAAGTATAGGTAAACTTGTTATTCTATTTATTTGCTAAGGTGGGGAATTATTGATGAAAAAAAGCCATGGATGGCTTTATGGTTTTATGCACCAGAAGGGCTAATCTTAATGCTCTTTCCCTCATTTGTGGACAGTTTTTACCTACTTAGATGTTTTATTATAATTATTTACTTAGTGCTTTAGTCATGGGGCTTGGGAAAAGCAGCATGAAGGGTCACTCTTGAGGAACTCAGCATTCATGTCTGGCTATTTGCTATGGACTGTACACTGGTGCAGCCCCCCACACCGTCCCAAATTCATATACTGAAATCTTCAACCTCACTGTGACGGCATTTGAAGATGGGGCCTTTGGGAGGTAATTTGGTCATGAGGGCCAAGCCAAGGGAGAGCTTGCCTCCTTATTCTCTCTCTACCACGTGAGGACATAACCACGAAGAGGGCCCCCCTCACCAGGAACTGATTGGGTGAAACCTTGGTCTTAGACTTCTCAGACTCCAGAATGGTTACAAATTTAGCTGTTTAAGCCAATGGTATTTTTGTGATAGCAGCCCCAACTGACTAAGACACTAAGACAATATTGATGAAGGCTTTAGCAACCATTTTTTTTTTTTTTTTTTTGAGACAGAGTCTTGCTCTGTTGCCCAGGTTGTAGTGCAGTGGCACAATCTTGGCTCACTGCAACCTCTGCCTTTCGGGTTCAAGCAATTCTCCTGCCTCAGCTTCCTGAGTAGCTGGGATTACAGGCGCGTGCCATGGTACCTGGCTAAGTTTTGTATTAAAACAATACTCTTGAGTCTTAATAGGCATTCAATATTCTCAAAGTAGTCACAATTCCCTATATCAGAAAAGGCAGGGTGTAAAGGCAATATTCCTTTGGCTTTGCTCATCAGACAAATACTCTCCCCTCTTCCTTTCACCAAATGTATCTGCCTACCTGCATCTTCATCCACTGTCTTCACTAATCAGGTGTTCCTGCTCCTGTGAAGGGCCACACCTTCGCACCATAGCGATCCCACCCTCTTCCACCTTCTCAAGGAATTCCAGGCAGTTATCCCCTCTCTTTCCTGCAAAATTAATCTCTTCCTCTCTACTGCACCACTTCCGAGTTTGCAAACACACTCCAGATTCATTCATCCGAAAACAAAAAAAACTAAAACAAACAAACAAAAACACTCCCTTGACTCTTCGGGTGCCCTTGGCTACCAGTCCATTTCTTGCTCCCCTTCACAGCAAAACTTCTCAAAAGCATAGTCTCTAGTCATTCATATCTATGTGATCCAGTGTCACCACCCTGTCTGGCACTCCACTGAAATGTCTCTTTAAGGTTACCAATGACCTCCATGCTAACAACCCAAAGGACACTCTTGAGTCTTCTTAGTCAGTAGCATTTGTTAAATTAAGTTCAGCCTAAAGCTGTCTCTTTACATATTCTAAAGGTTTCTCCATAAACTTTCCATAAACTTTCACATAGTAAACTGTAGACTGAATGAATGTGTAAACAGGCTGTAACCTACTCATGTGCCAATCACTGAGTTTCAGCCAATCAAAGGTGGCCAACTAAAGGTGGCCAATCAAAGGTGGCCAACTATTCAACCTCTGTTCAAATAAGACAAATAAGGCTGTAACCAATCCAGCTGCTTCTGTACCTCACTTCTGTTTTCTGTAGGTCACTTTCCTTTTTCCGTCAATAAATCTTCCACCACGTGGCTGCACTGGAGTCTCTCTGAATCTCTTCTGGTTTGGGGCCTGCCCAATTTGGGAATTGTTCTTTGCTTAACTAAACTCTGTTAAATTTAATTTGTCTAAGATTTTTAACATATTCTACAGTCAACCACTCAGTCCTTCTGTTAACACTGTCCTCTTTATTGGTTTTCTTGGTGTCACTGCCTAATTTCCCTCCTACTTCTCTGGCCATATCTTGCTCTTCTTTTCTGGCTCCACCTTTAACTAGGGCTCCACTTGGACCTTCTTTTCCACCTTTCCCTGTGAATCATCTCAGTATTTCCATTGTTTCAAATACGATCTCTTGAACTCCCAACTTGTATCTCTAGCTCAACCTGTCTTCTATATACGCATGATGATGACGCCAGTGATCATGAGGATAATGACAATGATAAAGATGAAAAGGATGATAATATACCAGCAACTAATACCTTTACAGGAGTTACCATGTGCCAGGCACCACGCTAAGCTCTTGACATGTCACAAACCATCCACTCTTCACAGTGACCCCATGAAATAGGTGTTATCGTCTTCACTTTGCAGATGAGGAAACTAAGGTACACAGAGGTTAAGTAACTTACCCAAAGTTAGACAGTTAGGAAATGAACCCAGAGAGAGAGTCAGATGGCAATGCTATATGAACACCTCCCCTTGAATACTTAACAGGCATCTCAAATAGTTATCCCATTTGCAGCGCCTGAGTTCTTTCTCTTTCGGTCTTCCCCATGCCAGTAAATGGTACCACCACCTACCCAGTATCTCAAACAAGGACACTAGAGGGTCATCTCATTTCTTTCTCTCTCATTCCCACATTCCAAATCCATCAGTAGGCTGTCCCATTTCTCAACATGTCTTGAAGCCACTCAGTCCTTTCTGTACCCATTGTCTGGTCTGACCATCGGGGACTCTTGTCTGGCCTAGAGCAGCAGCCTGTCCTCACTGCTTTTCCTGCTTCCATTCTTGTTTCCTCCTAAACTAGTCTCCATATGGCAACCACAGCAATATTTTAAAACTTGAATCAGGCTACACTGCCCCCTTTTCTAAACTTTTTCAGTAGTGTCACGTTTCACTTAATATTTGAATTCCTCATAATAGCCTCCAAAATCCTACATCACCCAGTTCCCACCTACCTGCCCCATCTCATCTTGTCTCACTCCACTCTCACTCAAGCCACTCTACTCACAGCCCTTGCTGTTGTTATTGTGGTCCTTCCACATGGAAAGTGATTCCTCTATCTCTGTGCATGGCCAATTCCTCTTGACCCTTCGCATTCTGGTTTCCTTATTCTTTCTACTTCATTATTCTTCAGCACTCATGTTTATATTCATAATTGCTCTTATCACAAGTTGTAATTATATGGTTATTTGACTACTTGTTTCTTTGTTGTTTCTGTTCCCTTTCCCTAAACTACAGGGGGCCATGAGCTGCCTAAGGGCAGAAGGCAAGTGTGTTTTACCCTGTTAGGTCATTACGGCCTAGACTATGCCTGACAAAAGGTAAGTACATGAATAACTATTTCCTTTGGCTGAATATTTGGAAACATTTTTATGCTTACTCTACTTTAGGAGGAAGGTATATAATTAGCAGGACTAGTTCTTGAATGAGGGCTAGACTCAGGATGTTCAGGGGTCATTTTCCTGATGAATTCAAGATTAAACCTTACCCCTGGGATGCTGTCGTTTTCTCCCTCCCCAGCTACAATAACACAATAAATTTTAATATTTAGAGGACACTGGCCAAATGGGTAGTGGTTAACACTGACTCTGACTAATGAGTAATTTACGTTTCCTTTTAAACTTAATATTGTGTATGTGTCAAGTTCTGGTCACCCAGCACAGACTTGTATCCTAAGCAATTTAAAAGGGGAATTATAGGTTACTTTATTCTCTTGTGGTTCTCACATTGCCAAAATTTCATAAATAACAGCTGCTACCTCTTGAGAGTGATGAAAGAAAGGGAACTCTGACCTTCTTGACACTATTTGCAACAGCTTCCTTGTGACCCAAGTCATCAGCAGAAAGTTCATTTCCAAATTTGAATTCGGGGTGAGCTTCCTCCTCTTGGTCAGCTGTGTGAAAGACAAATGGAAAATCCATGAAGCCAAACCACTGCCAAGTAGTCAGACCTTGTTCACAATCTTGGGTAGAACATAAGCACTTTTAGAGAAAAAGGATGCCAAAAGAAAATGGGGACATTTATATATGCAGTATTTTTTCAAGTAAAACTCTCACTAAACTCTTACCTGTTCAAGGTCAAGGAGCACATCTTGTCATGTATTATTTCTCCTGCACCTAAAATGTGGTTTGACATGCTTGATGCTTAATAAATTTTTCTTAACTGGATGGCTACTTCTATCCTAGTACACTAATTCTAAAAATGAAAGCCTCAAACACTGCAGGAATATCTGTGACTCACAAAAGGGTGTTTTGATATTTCATGACATCTACAGAAAATAAGAAGATGGAAGAAAAAAAATACATCAGATAATTTTGAAAGAGACTAAAATGTCCACTTGAATGTTATGGGCATAAAGACTTATAGCCTGGAGTGGTAGAGAAAGGAAAGGCCTCAGAAGGATTGTGCTACTCCTGCAAACTATTTGTCAAATTAGCGTAGGTTTCAAAGGCTCAGGGCTCATTTGTCAGGCTCAAGTAGGAGGAGAAATGGAAGTGGGTGCCAAATAAAGCTGGTGTCCTTGGAGCATGGTCTAGTCTGTGAAAGGAAGCACACACACTGTGTTCATTGGTCCAGGAAAGTGACAAGAATGCCAGAATCCACCCAGGATGTTCGTGGGAAAAAAAAAAGAACTACCTGCTGGAAAATGTACAACATGCTGAGGTGAGATTTGGATTCACACAATTACCATTTGTAGTAATTCCCAGACAAAGATTTTGCCTAAAATCTAGCCAGCATCAGGAGAAACCCATAGACTTCAGGATGAGGACAATACAAATCCACATGGTCACACCACAGGGCATGAGGCAACTTTACTGTAAAAACAAATAAAAAAAACCCACTAAAATAATTTCTGAGAATAAACTCATAAAGGAGATGAGCAGACCCATAAGAATGAGAGAGATTTTTTTAAAAGCATGTTTAAAAGTACAAAGGAGAATGAAAGAACAGGAGTAAATGAAAAATGATTTCACTGATTCTGAGATGTACTTTGTTGTATTTTAATATTTCTGATGTTGTAATATGTTCTTCAACTGATGTTTTTTTCCAGTGAATGGAAACTATTTTTTCTTTCTTAGTCATGATAAAACAGTGATATCTTTCAACTGGTGGTATCTGGATTCAGAATTTCCTGATAGACTGTTTTATTTTGTGAAGTATCTCTCCAGGCATAGGAAGAGGGCGAGGGAAAGAAACAGCCACCTTCCTCGTCTGGAGCTAATAATTCTGATGAAGGGATATTCTAGAGGCAGACAATTAAAAAAACAAAATCCATACAACAACAATAACAAAAATTGGGTCATTGTAAGGCTTAGGCAGGAAGAAAAGGATTTGAGGAACTGGAATACGTCTTAAAAGAATCTAATTTAGCATCTGTCTTTACTTATAAATGAGGAAATAGATGCAGAGATATGATTTTACTTGTCTGAAATCACAGAGCAAGATAATGGATCTACCTGTCTCCTGAATTCTTAGCACAATTCTTCCAGGACTAGGTTTCCATGACCTACAGTCAGTAACCAAGATTTCAAAACTTCTCAGGTCACTATTAAATTTTCATTTCGTGTATGTCTAGTCTAAACTGCCCATACAGAAGTAAATGACTTGGAAGGCAAAGGACATGCTCCAAACAAGTGGTAGAGACTCAATAACCACTTTAAGAGAATTGTATGAATACATGATCACTTTCTGAGTGTGCATATATGCACAGACACACCTATAACCACATACAATTTTGATATTCCCCACTACTTGTCTCCTATCCTGGGAGCCATGTCTCCTTCTGAATCTAAATCCAGCCTAATGCCTGGGCACCTGTTTTCACTGACTGAAAGCCTTTTCTATTTTCTACAGCCTCCAGGCAGGCCTCCCCTCTTGAACTATGCTTGGTTCCCCCTTGCCTGCTATGCTGATGTATTTAAATTAGAGACTCTAGTCACACATACATAGTAGATTCATACAGTGGTACTAAGGTAATTACAGCCAACTGGTTGACCAGAACCAAAACCAAGTGTTACTGAGGCAACCTAAGAATCACATACATAACAGGTGTAACAGGAGCCTTGTGCCATTTAGGTGGATGATTCTGTCCTTAGGTACTTTCCTACTGGTATACTAAATCATGTGGTTATTTCTGTTAAAACTTAACCCAAATCTCAAGTATATTTTGGAATAGCATGGGAGTCACTGGAGGCAAATCTTTTTCTGCCTGGAGGAATAATTACCATATGTATGTAGATGGTGGGAAAGCACCTTTAATAATACATGAAGTCACACTGATGCTCATTTTACATGACTGTGTGTGTTTAGGAACCAACACATCTTTGACTTTCATTCGTTCTATTATTTCTCCTTTCTAAAAAAGTATTTTTGCGTATCTATGTTTTTACCATATTCCTGTAAATTGAAAGGGCAGTACTGTAAGGTACAAAAAGTCTTGACCCTGGAATCAGGTAGCTCCAGGATTGAATCTTAGTGCTATCACTTGCCCGCTGTGGGATCATGTGCAAAATATGTTACCTCTCTAAGCTTTAGTCCCCTAATCTGAAAAATTGGTGTAATAATACTCATTTCAGAGGCAGAGCTTGCAGTGAGCTGAGATCGCGCCACTGCACTCCAGCCTGGGCAACAGAGTGAGACTCTGTCTCAAAACAAACAAACACACAAACAAACAAAATAATAGTAATACCCATTTCATCAGGCTGTATACAGATTAGATAAGGCTGTAATGTAAAATGCCTGGTCCACTGTTGGTACAACGATGGTAGTTAATTATTATTAACATTGTTTCCTTGTTAATGTATTCTATTATTTCTACAGTGTGTTTTACTGGATTATTGTATCAGTAATGCCTTACATATTTTAATTACCATCTATGAAATTTAAATTAAAGGAACAGGTTTTACTGAATAGTCATCTTTTTTGCATCTTAGGAGTATTTTCTTGATCGTTTGAAATATATTTCTGTCAATATATTTTTTTAAAATCTTGTTTAGGTTTATTATTTGCAAAAAATGTGAAAAATACAGTCGGCATCATGGCTGACTATATTTTCCAAAGACAGCTGCCATAACATCTGCTTTCCTCTGTGCTCTTATGCAACGTGACCTTGTCACTCATTCACCCTCTTGAACTTGGGCTGGCCCTGAGACTGCTTTGATGAATAAAACATAGAGGAAATGATACTGCACCAGTTCCAGGCCTAGCTCTTAAATAATTTAGCAGCTTCTGCTTCCTGCCTCTTGGGACACTGGCTCTTAGATGTTCCATCTGGGGAACTTAGCCATTGTGCTGTGAGAAGCCCAAACCACAGAGAGAGGCCACGGGGGTACTATGGTCAGTAAGGCCTCGCTGAGCTCCCAGTGTTCAGCCAGCATCCATCGCCAGCATGTGAGCGAGCCGTCCTGGATAACCCGTCCAAGGGAACCAGTCAGCCCCAGATGTCATCTGCCGACAAAAGCATGAGAAACTCAAGGGAGAACCACCAACCTGAGCCCAGATGATCCACAGAATTATGACAGAAAATGATAAGGTATTGTTATAAGCCCCTAAATTTGGGGAAGGTTTATTGCATAGAAACAGACGACCATAATAACAAATATCAACTGAGTTGTATCAGATATCTTTAGCCCCCTAGACCCTCCCTGCCACATAAAACAAATGAAAGTACAGTCATTACGACTTTTCTCTAGGAGTAATGTCAAACCCAAGGACTGGACATGCAATTGAATCACTTATAAAGTCTGTTCCACAGTCAGGAGTCTTTATTAAGGAGTCTTGAATAAGGTTAGTTAATTCTTTCAGCTTTCGGATTTTTAACTCTACATCTAACCTTCCTAAAAGAGAGAGTCCTTTGATGGATCTGGGCAACGTAAACTGAAAAGCTTCTGGTGTTCACCATTCTAGATGCCATTAAGAACACTCACAATTATGGGAAGAGGTAAAAATATCAACGTTCGTAGGAGTTTGGGAGACTCCCATGGATGACGTTGAGAGGTTCAAGACTTCAGTGGAGGAAGTCACTGCAAAGGTGGTAGAAAGAGTAAGAGAACTAGAATTTGAAAAGGAGCCTGAACATGGGGCTGAATTGCTGCAATTTCATGATAAAACTTAAACAGATGAGGAGTTGTTTCTTATGAACGAGCAAAGGTGGTTTCTTGAGATGGAATCTACTCCAGGTAAAGATACCATGAGCATTGCTGAAATGACAACAAAGGATGTAAAATATTACATAAACCTAGTTGAGAAGGCATCACAGCAAGGTTTGAGAGGATTGGCTTCAATTTTGAAAGAAGCTCTGCTCTGGGTAAAGTGTCATCAAATGGCAGTGCATGCTATAGAGAAATCTTTTGTGAAAGGAAGGGTCAATTGATGCAGCAAACTTCATTGTTGTCTTATTTTAAAAAAGTACCACAGCCACCCCAATCTTTGGCAACTACCTCACTGTTCACTCAAGGCAAGACACTCCACAAAAAGATTTCAATTTGATGCAGGTTTAGATAATAGCATTTTTTAGCAATAGATATTTTTTAATTAAGTTACATTTTTGGACATAATGCTATTATTGAACACTTAATAGCCTATAGTACAGTGTAAATATAATTTCTGTATGCACTGGAAAACAAAAATTCCTGTGAATCACTTTTTTGCAATATTTACTTCATTGTAGGGGTCTAGAACTCAATCTGCAATATTTCTAAGATATGCCTGTATATAAATCCAAAGCATTGTATAACCAACGCAAGTCCTCGTCATTTTGTTCATCAATTCTCATGATATATAACGAACAAATAATTCTCTAAAATCACCCCGAAACTCTCAAATGACCCATTTACATCTGAACATTATGATTGCTGCTATGTGATCAAAGTAAAAGAGAAGGTAGTAGCACATATTCAAATATTTTAAGCAAGACTGCCTTCCTAAAATTATCTAGCTTCACAGAGATAATTCTGGTGAGCTGGTTATTTGAAGGAATTTGAACTTGAAATTTTAATACCAGCTTTGGATTTCTAGTTCACTTTGTGCAGACAAACCAGTTATTTGCCTGAGGGTCTCTTAAATTACTTGCCTCTCTACTATCATCATTAACAAGACTGAAGTTCATGCTTTTGTCTATAGAAAGGGATTGCAAAATATTCTTTATATTGTTTCCTCTGCCTACTACAGCAAGTGCTCAAGGATTCTCTGGCTATGAATTTCTGCTGAATAGCTGAATGACCAATAGGAAGGGAGATGACAAGGCCATTAAAATTTAGTTGTCAGAAAAAATTGGAAGTATTTGGCAAAACACCAAGAACACCAAAATATTACTATTAAGAATTAAAACAGCATTATTATATAAAAGGGTCTTCTGAAAGAAATTCCTGGTTTTCTTACTCATGTATTTTTGAAACAGGGCCTCAGTCGGTTGCCCAGGCTAGAGTGCAGTGGTGCAATTACAGCTCACTGCAGCCTTGAACTTCTGGGCTCAAAGGATCCTAATGCCTCAGCCTCTCCAGTAGCTGGGACTACAGGCACAGGCCACCACGCCTGGCTAATTTTTTATTTTTTGTAGAGATGGGGTCTCATCTCTATGAAAATGTTGCCCAGGCTGGTCTTGAACTCCTGGGCTCAAGCAATCCTCCCACCTCGGCCTCCCCAAGTGCTGGGATTATGGGCTTGAACCACTGTGTCCAGCCTGGTTTTCTTATTTAAAAAGTATTTTTGAAGCATATAACTTAAAATAAAAGCAAACAGCTCACCACTTTCGATCTCCTCTTCATTATCATCCTCTAAGATGTTTGCTGGGGAGGCAGATTCTCCAGCTTCCATCATGCTTCTCAAAGCTTCCAGCTGTTCTGTTAGCAAAAACATGCAAAGAGATGGTGACAGATGCTAGGTGACATACAAACCCTAAGCCTTCAGATCGACACTGAGAAGGAGGACATGAAAAGGCAGAGGAAACAGAATGTTCAGGCACCAAGTGCGCCATGTTCCTAAGGTTCAGCAGTGATCTCTCTCTCGCCCATTCCTGGTGGTCTTGACCTTGTAAGAAACCTTAACAACCACCTTATACACACATGATGAAGAATTGCGGGGTCATGGGTGAAATGACCAAAATTCTGGTCACCAAGTTTGAGAGGAGGTTCAGTCCTTGTAAAGACTAAATTTAAGGCTAGATAACAAAAGCCTATAATTTGGAGAATCTGGCACAGACCAAGGTTTATGAACAGTCATGGGGAATTGACAGAAAATAGGCAGGTTGGCAACAAAACCTCAGGAAAAAAATATTTGCAACGGATTTAACTGGGATTATATCGTACTATGCAAAATAAGACTAATATTTTTCTATAAGTCAGAAAGATAAAGGTAAATGAAATAATAAAAATGGGAAAACATGTAGGGACAAACCACAAATCATAATATGCAAAAAACTAGTTATTAAAGACACACAAATAACAAAACCCCTAAGGTACCACTTTTTTTCTATGAGTTGGACACACATTTAAAAATGGCCAACAGCCAGCATTAAGGATATTGGTGGGAAACAGGCACTCTCATATATGACTGGTGAAGAGTCTAAGTTGGTAGAACTTTCCTAAAAGAAAGCATAACAAACTATATCACAATATAAAATATGTATATGCTTTGGGTGAATAACTCTAATCGCACCAATTGATTTCAAGGAGAGGGTTGCACAAACATACAAAATAACATTCAAGCATGTTTATAGTAGTGAAAATCCATCAACTTGGGACTGGTTACATCATGCTATAATAAATGCATACAATTCTATGTAATAGATATTAAATTCTATATAGTGTTTCATACATTAGGATTAAAGTTAGTATGTAGATTTATATCCTGCTGATGTAAGTATACTTACCTGGTTAAATTTTAAAAATTAAAAATCAGTACCATTAATATGATCTCAATTATGTTAAAAATGTAGGTATATACCTAGACATGTACATTATGTACATGTGTCTATAGTATATGAATATGTGTATAATACATGTTAGTGCTGTTACTTTCTTTACTTTTCATTGTCTTGATTTTTCTATGGCAGTATTGCTTTTGTAATAAAATAAACTGCCATTAACATAATTTAAAATGTTTCATTTAGAATACTTGGGGGGAAAATGCAGTGTAACCATGCCAATATTTGATACCATTAATTCACTGAACTAAGATATACTCTGGAAGAAAATATTTTCAAGGAAATCATCCTGGGAGAATAAAAGGAAACATGACTATATAAAATCATTTGTCTCTAGATCTCTCTATTCACATATACACAGTCACATACTCTTATGTACCTAGTATCCCTAGATATGTTTGGAGCACAGGGGCAAACTGAAAAGGGAAACTTATGAGGACTTTAGAGTGTGTAATATTATAAAATGCTGGTTCCTTGTATCTTGAGAAATTCTAAAATGCTTCTACTTTCCTCTCATTTTTCCTTGGGCCCCCTCCAAATTCTGACATATGAATATATAAATATGCTTTTCCTACTGCATGAATTAATTGATGTGGAAATTAAACTTAAATGGAAATGTGGCAATCTTGCTCTGAAAAGTACCTGTAACATCACCCCTACATCCTTCCCCCCAAAATCAGTGGTTTTAAAATAAATTGAATTCTAAACAGCTGAAATGTCCATACGTGTTATACTTGCTTCTATTATATATGTGTGTATTTCACTTACTTTTTTCAACTTCAGGTTTCAGCCGCTTGTTTTTTATGAGTATTTTTCTTTTGAGGTCATTGGGGGATGGCAAAGGTCTGCCTGGTTCAAGCTAGAGAGAAACAGAAAGAGCTGAATTAAGGAAGGCCTGTGCTTCTCCATTCTCCTTCCCAGCCCAGGAGGAGCCTGGGAGGCCTGGGAGTGATGCAACCCAACACCCACTAGATGGCAGGCGGCACAGCCTTCCGTTTTCACTCCCCAACCCAAGTTAGCACACTCATTCAGCTTTCCCTTGGACCAGTGCTGCAAACTTGAAATCCACATAGTTTCCAGAGGTGTGCAGAGCTGCTCCAACCTCCCCAGTGGAGCAGGGGTCTGGCCCAGGGTGTGCGGGGGAGGGGTTCCTGCTCCCCTGAGGGCCTTGCACCTTTTAAGTATCTGGTAAAGTGCAAGGGATGATTGACGGTTGGGGTCAGAATTGGCTTTCCCAAGTTAGAGGCCCCCCCAAATCCTCCCAAGGGTCAGGCTGTATAGTAAACCTGTCTGCTCAGTAGGCTGACCCAACCCTCAACACTTGAGATTGTGGTTTAGTGGGTTTGATAAGGGAATCAAGAACAGAGTTGTTCCAATTCCTGGAATCTGAACTTGACTACAGCATCATTTGCTTAGATTCATATATGCAAAGGAGATGTCCCTGCATGCTGTCACCTCTGATCTACAGAACCGTCCTGTATCTAGTCATCCATTTCCCATTCCTCCACCCATCTCTCTATATGCCCACCCACCCACCCTTCCACCCATCCATTCATTTTTAAAACTTGCTTTTATACTACTTATTATATGTAAGGCACTGTGCACTCATATGTCTGTCTTGCCTCCAATAAAACCCTTTGTTGAAATGCTGTTTCCTTCCAGCAGCCTGGTATAAGGAAGATCACTGGCCCATTCCCCAGTGACCTCTCTTGTACCAGGACACCTCCAACAAATAAAGCATCATAGGACACCTTCTTTTCTAGTTATGTGTTCACGTTTGTGTCCTCCTCCCACTCCCAAGGTTGAAAGCTCTTTAGCTCCAGGAGCAGGTCTTATTCCCATTTATATTACCTATGCTTCCCAAAACACCTGTCCTGTATTCAAAGGAGAACAGGGTCTAGAGGCAGGGAACATAAGGCCTATTCATGCTGACTTCCTAGAACTAAATCAAATGGAAACACTTCAGCTACGATGGGAAATATCCTCTCCATTTACATGGGATGTACACTGAGTAAATGACTTTATAACTTTACTTCATCCTATTCACTTACATAGGGCAGACACCAAGTAACCAATGGAAACTTCTAGAGGGTATTTAAACCCCAGAAAATTCTGTAACGGGGCTCTTGAGCCTCTCTGCTCAGGCTCCTCCCACCCTGTGGAGTGTACTTTCATTTTCAATAAATCTCTGCTTTTGTTGCTTCATTCTTTCCTTGCTTTGTTTGTGCATTTTGCCCAATTCTTTGTTCAAGATGCCAAGAACCTGGACACCCTTCAGCTGGAAAGAATATGTGCACATCACTTCACTAAGAATACAGTGATCTTTCCACAAAAGCAATCACCTTAACCCAATCAGGAAAATAAACAGAGGGCCTAGGTAAAAATAAATAAAATAAATCAGAGCTGTTTCTTGTTTGGGTTCCCTTAGAAACAGCCTCAGAGAAAAGTATTATTGCACCAGGTCATCTACTTGGAAGGAAACTCCAACAGAGGTGTGGGAAAATGAGAAAAAGAAGACAGGCGGCCCATCAAGGGTGTGTTACCAAGCAAGTTATCACTGCAGCCACCTGGAGCACGATTCTGCTGGGAAACCCTGGGAGGCAGAGAAGAGCAGGTGCTCAGGGTTATCCCACCTCAGGAAGGATGAAGCATGGGAGAGGGATAATTCCCTGGCACTGCTGGTCTATCTTTCATGTGTGGCAGAGCAGGCTCCAGTGACCAGAGCTCACTCTCAGGCAAGAAGCTGTGGATGTTGGCAGTGGAAAGTCAGGCCAGTGTTCAGGGAAACAGTAGGCACTGTAAGGATATGGGCAGGTCACCTGCAGCGACTGCTTCTGCAAGTTCAAGAGAAGAAGGAAGGGGGGCAAAGGATACAGATATCCTTGTCTCTCACATTTTTTTTCAGTTCCCATAGACACACTTCTGAAAAGAACCTCATTGTTAAACCACCTAAAGTGTTTACATGCAGTACATAGCACCTTCCTGCTGTCACTTGCTGTGATGTTCTTATGCCACTACCTCAAGCTACCAGGTTTGAGCCCATCAGGTGCTGCTTGTCAATAGCAGTTCTTTCTAATTTGATTTCATTAGCTGCCTTGGAGCTCATAACATCTTGTGACTGTGGATCTTAATCTCTTGGAGGTCATGGATCCTTATAAAAATGTGATTAACTCTCTAGAATGAGTATATACAAAAAAATTGCAGGCAATTAGAATGAATTCATAGATCTCATAAAGCCTGTCTATGGAGCACAGGTTAATGTTCTTCGCTTTATGAAGAAATTAGCAGGTGTAAAATGAAGTTCAAAAATGCATGTGTAACATTGCCCAATGATTTATTTTGGAGTTAGGAATGTGAACTTCAGGATGCCATGACATCAATTCAGGGCACTTTCCACAGCATCAGGCTCCCATGGGTTCTGAATCCTGGGTGCATAGACAGTTCACCTGGAGGGCTTTTAAAACACCATGCTCAGGCCTGACCCTGCATCAATTCAACCAGTCTCCGAGTGGCGCCCTGGCACAGGTGTTTTTAACAGTTTTGCAGGTGATTCCAACATGTAACTGAAGTTGAGAATGACTGACCTGAATCTGGACTCTTGGCCTGGGTGCTTTATGAAATTTTAAGACTGAGATCTGAAAAACCATAAGACCCAAAGATCCTCCAAATTAAATTGAACCAGATGTTTATTTTGTGTCTCTTTACATCCCTCTGAAGCATGATGTAAGTTTTCTGTACCAAAGAATTTAAATAAATATGAAGATCTTTAGCATTAGTCCTCCAGTACTACTTGACCCCTCAGAAATTTTCAAAACAAATCCATTCATGCTAGAAATATGGTTTGCTAAAAATACATACTGGATGTGATTCAAGCGCTTGTTTCAACAGGAGATCCCCAAATAGATCTTCGCAATATTTGGACATCTTGTACTGTTGATATTTGCTGGAGAGAAAAAAAAGTGGCATTTGTAAATTCAAACACCCATTAACCGTCCAAGAATAAAAAGCACCCATTCCTAGGCAATTAAGATTCTCACTTGGCAAAATGCACGATTGTCCTCTTAATGCTAATGTGAGATGTACCAAAAACTTTAACTGGTATAATTTTAAAAGACGGAGAAGGAGGTTCTGTTCCAAAACTAAGAGCTGGAAAGAAGAATAAAAAATGTCTTTCAAGTTAATCAAATCTGATTTCAAATATACTGCCACATCTTCCAACTCAATGGAACTTTAAGTAAGGTGTCCCAGTCTCTGAACTTTTGTTTGGAACAAGTATTTCTGAAACACATTAAAATGATTTGGTTTGGTGGGGGCAAGACTGGTTTTTTTATGTTTTTTTTTTTTTTAATGTTTTTTGCTTTGTGTAAGAGTAGGTGTCCTTGCTGGAGGATTATTTGAACTTGGTACTTCACAAAACAAACTACTCAGCTATTTAAAAAGATGTAGAGCAGGAGTGGGCATTAGGGGTTAGGAAACAATACCACACAGAGACTTGAGGCAGAATGGATCATTATACCTGCAGTGATTTTCAAAGGAGAGAATTACAGGATATTCTGATGTGACAAATGCAGTTTCCTTGATGGCTTGAATTACATCCTTTAAAGACCAAAAAAAAAAAAAAAAAATGTTAATGAGAGAAAACAGCAAAAAAATTAAGGCACCTAACACTATTCAGAGACTATTAATTGAGTCTTTCAGGAAGTCAGTTCCAGCAATTCAGACCTGGAGCCCCCATCTATCTCAATACCTCTACAGGTTGAGTTCCCTGTGGTTACAGCCACGGTGCAGTTAATGGTTAATGACAATTTTTAAGCTATCTTTTACTTCTCCAGAATTATGGTGCTATTAACTTACAAGAGATTTCACCTAAGTGGCATGCCAGTTTCCGGCTTGTTAATCTGCCAAGCCAGGAGTTCAGAGTCCACCTTTCTTCTTGAGGAGCAGGTGATCTCTGGCACAGAGGCTCTCACTCCAGACCACTGTATGATTCCTCCCCACCTCGTGCAGGAAACTGTGGGCAGTAACCTAAGGACTGTTGGAGGCTTTTACTGACTTTCCTCTGTGTTTGGAAATCAGTCTTGGGCTATACTTCATTAACTTGATGTAGACCTGTGTGTATTCATGTGACATTTACAGTATCCCTTGTTTCCTATTAGCCTGGTTACAAGGTCGGGGGAAGGGGTTCTGGTTGGTCAGACAACATGTAAGTGAATCAGTAAAGTGTTCTGGACCCCCCATCTGTAACGCAGAGCTTAATTACGGAAAACAACATTTGAAGGAGCTAAACATAATCTTCCCTTTTCACTATTCTCCATGAAATAGGAGAGGCTTTAAGAGACGGTTGGCCCTGCCTCTGCTTAGCTTGAGAAAGGAAGGCTTCAAATCAGCACTTCTACAACCAGAGCATTGTATTTGGTAAAAATCCCCAAATTCTTAGTGGTTTGTAGCAAATCACAGGGCAAATCTCGTCATTCAGTTAATCAGAAAAATATTTCACAATAGTTATCTAGGCAAATCCATTTGACATGATAAAGCCCGAGGTTAGATAATCTTGAAATATTTTATTGAGGCATTCCTTATGGTAGTCATTTAGTTATTCTTCCTGGCTGTGCAAATTCATGGCTTCCCACTTGAATATACTCTTGGTACATATCAGGAAATATTATCTTGAATTCATTGCTGGTCAAAACTCTCCAACATCTTGGCTAAGAGAAATACTATGCATAGCATCTAGACATCTGTGTGTGTGATGTGTGTGTGTGTGTGTGTGTGTGTGTGTTTTGAGATAGAGTGTCTCTCTGTTGCTGAGGCTGGAGAGCAATGGCATGATCTGGGCTCACTGCAACCTCCGCCTCCCGGGTTCAAGCAATTCTCCTGCCTCCGCCTCAGCTGGGATTACAGGTGCTCGCCACCACACCAGCTAATTTTTGTATTTTTAGTAGAGACTGGGTTTTACCATGTTGGCCAGGCTGATCTCAAACTCCTGATGTCAAGTGATCCACCTGCCTCCACCACCCAAAGTGGTGGGATTACAGGCGTGAGCCACCATGCCCAGTGGCACCTGTGTTGTTGAAAATACCCATGGTGCTGTTTCACATGTAGGTGGAGTTGAGAACTGCTGCTCCTGGTGTTGTAATATCTATCTATCCTGAGTTACACCAAACTGACAGACAGCTGTAGCTGACATTCGCCAACCACAGAATTTCATTCTTTTGATTTGTCTAACCTCATTATCTCATTCTCTTATTATTTTATTTATTTATTGAGATGGAGTTTCGCTCTTGTTGCCCAGGCTAGAATGCAATGGTGCAATCTTGGCTCACTGCAACCTCCACCTCTCAGGTTCAAGCGATTCTCTTGCCTCAGCCTCCTGAGCAGCTGGGATTACAGACATGCATCACCATGACTGGCTAATTTTGCATTTTTGTTAGAGACAGGGTTTCTCCATGTTGGTCAGGCTGGTCTCCAACTCCCGACCTCAGGTGATCTGCCCACCTCAGCTTCCCAAAGTGCTGGGATTACAGGCGTGAGCCACCACACCCAGCCTGTCCTATTTGTATAGGCCCTATTTACCGTCTATTTTATTCCTGTATTCTATTTATTTTTTTCTGCCACCTTGAAGTCCTTTAGGAATAATGCAAAGTAAATAATCAAATAAGTACATAACAAAAGGAGATATTATTTTTAAGGTAAGTAAAACTAGGTAAACTCTGCCAGAGAAACCTTGTTACATAACACAGTCATCATTTGAAAGCAGGAAAAGTATTATGAAGGGGACATACAGTGGAAAAGATCTTTGTCTTGACTTTTTCCTCAAGACTGAAAGAAGACAATATGAAGGTACAATGCTTGAGAAAATGAATCATTTGTTTTCTCTTCTCCATCTCCCTATTTCCTGCATTTTTACAGAGTTTGGAAAAGTCTGTGTAATAATTTAAAAGTTACCTTAAAAAGGATATCTGTACACATTGCTTTTCCATGAGTTATTATTGGTTCTTGGTCTTCACCTTTTCCATCCCAGCAGTCAAGTTCAACACATCTAGGGACATAGTGAAGTTACAATATTGAAACTTTACAATAAAATAGTGTGTATACAAATTAAAAGAAAGACATAAAAATAAGTTGTTTTCTTACAGAACAGAAAATTGAATAAGTAACCTGATTATTTCATGGCATATATAGATAAAAACTACATTATCCTCCTCATCTGGTTGGTATTATCAAAAAGGGATTGTCTGAGTGAGATTAAGAGACTTAAGAAATATAACAAGCATCATGGTTCTGGATGAAATCCTACTTGTGACAAAGCTGCAATAAGGGACAATTTGGGGGCCAGGCGTGGTGAGGCCGAGGCGGGCGGATCACTTGAGGTCAGGAGTTGGAGACCAGCCTGGCCAACACGGCAAAACCCTATCTCTACTAAAAATACAAAACATTAGCCAGGTGTGATGGCTACTTGGGAGGCTATAATCCCAGCTACCTGGGAGGCTGAGGCATGAGAATTTCTTGAACCCAGGAGGGGAGGTTCCAGTGAGCCGACATCACGCCACTGCACTCCAGCCTGGGCAACAAAGTAAGACTCTGTCTCAATTAAAAAAAAAAAAAAAAAAAAGACAATTTGGTTGGGTACAAATGGGGAAATATGAATGTGGGCTGGATTTTTGATAACATCAAAATTACTTTTAATTTTGATAGGCTGGATGATGTTACTTTGGCCATTCCAGAAAATGTTTAGTGATTCATACTCAAGTATTCAGAGGAAGTATGCAAATGGAAGTAGTAACACAGTTAATTTCTTTCAACGTATTTCCATATCCAAAAAAACAGTGAGTTAAAAGAAAATATTATTTAATTGATAACCAAGAAAAAAAATCATAATGTAACTACATTTCTTATGTTTCACTTTCATTATTTTTGCCATATTTTAAACCTGAAGTATTTGTCAGTTTCTATAAAACAAAAACTATTTTCAATAATTTCTATTCTCAGAAAACTAAATTTTTAAATTTTACATCAAATAAAGCTAATTTACAAATGCCTATAATCAATGGCCAGTTAGCTCAATTGGTTAGAGCATGGCGCTAATAACAAATACCTATAATCAACAGAAAACTCAACATGACTTCTTACAATATGCATGTTTTCTTTTTTGTGGTTTTGAGGGCATATTTTAAATTTACAGTAAAGAAAAGTCTTTTTACAGTAAAGTCTTTTGGATGACTGTAGATCTTTTGAGGCTGGATCTTACAGGTTTTGCAAATGAACCAGACATGATGTGAAAGAATAAAACAAGTTCAACATGAGCCCAGTGGTTTTTCTGGAAGAGATATTGCCCTTTTCTCAAGGTTAAATGACCATGATAATCCATTAAAGGGAATAAACAAATGTCCTTTTCATCCTGATTACTATTTCCTATTTTTCAGAGAAAAGTAAATTAAACTAAAGGGCATCACACACAAAAAACAAATTGCCATCTTAGTTCTTCACCTGCAACCAGCCAGGAGAACCTGTCTGTACATTTCTACCGAAGACTTCCCGCCGAACTGTCTGCCAGTCAGATAAGTGTTATGGGAAGAACTGATGAAGTAGTGAGCCAGAGGATGGTCCATTTCTTGGTAAAGTTCTAAACGATCTAGGAAGACTGGGGCGTTTTCATCTGACATCAGATATCTGCAAAACCCATCACTTGATATAAGGCCTAGGGGAAAAAGAACATCTTAGTAGCACTTGTAGCTCTGAAGATGCACATCTCATGTTTTATTCGTGGAAGTTGAGGCAGCTTAAATTATAAGGGTAAAAACTTCTTCATAGTCTCTTTCCCAAGAACCTTCATCTGTCAGAACTTGAATGAAATAAGAGAGTTGCACATTATAAGTAACATAATGAATTCCACACACAGGTGGCATTTTGCTTTTACATCCATGATGGCAGAGGTACATGGTCCCCCAAGTTCAGAAACACAGCACTGGGGAGGTATGGTGACCAGGGGTCCACGGGACCTGTATCAAGTTCTGCTCTTGCTACTCACTCCTTTGGCTCCTGGGTCTCAGCTCCTTCTTTTGTCAATTGGGGAAAAAGACTGGCCCTATCTGACTTCCAAGATCATCATAATGGGAAATAAGGGGAATAGATATGAGAGGTGCTCTTTAAAAATGGAAAATGTATTAATTATAAGACATTATTGTTCTCACTGAATTGGAAAAGGGATTTTTCTTGGAGATGATGGCGCTTCTGAATTTAAATAATTCAGTTTTCAATTTTATCTAAAAGTCATAACCTTTTATCTAAAAGGTTATGCGACTGGTGAGAAGAATATACAGTGGTCATTGAAACGTGGCCCCAAAAGGCATCCTTCATTTCAATCACACCTTTCTGACATGGGGTAGAGCCCATGTGGTAACTACAGGAGCCACAATCAGTATTTACGCAACTTATAAATGGTTGATGCATCGACAGCTTCAACTTTTTGTTTTATTTAAGAATTTGCAAGTTATGAACTGATTTCAAGCTTACAGAAGTGTTCAGATGATAGCATAATGAATAGCCATGGACCTACACTAGTGTGGTCAGATCTCAACATTTTGCCTTATTTGATTTACATTTTTGATTATTTGATTTACATTTAAAATAATACATAATTCTTGATGCCACTGAAGCATCCTGTATACCCCACCTCAATTCCATTCCATACCAGATAGATAACTACTACCCTAGTTTTGGTGTTTACCCCAAAAATGGTTTTGCAATCTTACTACATTTGCATTTATCCAAACAACAGGTAGTTTGGGCTGTTCTCAATTTTACATAAAAGCTATCCCACTGTGTGCATTTGCAACTTGCTATTTTTATCTTTATATACCAGTTATACAAGTAGATCTTGTTCATTCATTTTTCACTGAAGGCACAGAAGTCCATATATGAATATATTATAATTTATTATCCATTAAATTTTGTTGATGGATAGTTAGGTCATTTCTAATTATACATGAAAGTAGAAATTTGTATACCTTTCTCCTTGGGTACCTTCATTCATTCTAAAGAGCAAGTACTTTTAGAGGCACCAGGATAGATGCAGTGATAGAAGAAACAGGTAAGCCCTGCCTTCATGAAACTCTCATATTATGAGTGACAGAAACAAATAAGTAAACAAATAACTATAATGTCAAAGAAGTACTAGAAGGACTGAAAAAGCAGGAAGGAAGGTGATAAAGCATGACAGTATGCTGTGTTAAATATGGGCCAGTGAAAGCACTTCTGAGGTCACGTACATGTGTGAGGAGCAAGTCACACGCACACCCAGGAAACACCAGTCCAGGGAGAAGAATCAGCAAGTGCAAAGACCTTGATGCAGGTGTGTGCATGCCAACATCATTCAGTGACAGCAAGACAGAGCAAGTGACCAAGGAAAAATGTAGCCGGAAATGAGGTTGGAGATGGAGCCAAAGGCTACGTTAGTTGGACTTTGGCCCTCACTAAGTGCTTTAGATTTTATTCTAAATGTGTTGGGAAGCCTTTGAGGGTTTCGAAGGGTGGAATAACATGATTAGATTTGGTTTTAAAAGATTTACTCTGGCTGCTGTGTGGAGTATAAATTGTAGGGCACTGAGTAGGAAGGAGAAGGCGTTGCTTGGAGAGGGATGATGAAGGCTTGGATAGTCAGTAATGCTGGAGATGGTGAGAAGTGATTTATTTAGGATTTCTTTTGAGGCTGGATCTTACAGGTTTTGCAAATGAACCAGACATGATGTGAAAGAATGAAACAAGTTCAACATGAGCCCAGTGGTTTTGACTGGGTAAATAATGGTACTATTTTATAGGCTTCGAAAGGAACAGATCTAGGGGTAGGAAGGATCAAAATATGTTGTATATATACATTGGAAATGCCCATTCAGCATCCAAATGGAGAGTTCTACTACAGGTCTGTAGTGTAAGCTGGAGGTTAGGACTGGAGAGTTTAATAGAAGAAATGTAAAGCCATTGGCTTGGATGAGCTCAGGTACACAGTGAGTATAGATGGAGCAGAGATCTGAGAACTGTGCCGCTCTGGCATCCAGAGTTTGGGAAATGTATGACAGATTCTCTAGGGTACATACCTAGCAGTGAAAATGCTGGGCTGTATAAGAGGCATATTTTTCACTTTATAAACTATTGCCAAAATATTCCCCAAGATGGTTGTACCAATGTAGGGTCTTACCAGAAGTTTATAAGAATGGCTTTGTACTGCATTCTCACCCACACTTGAAAATGACAGATATTAAAATTTCCATCACTTGTGAAATGGCCAAGCTACCCTTTTTGATGTGTCAATGGTCACTTCACAGACCTTTAAAACTTAGAAGGAATTTGGAAATAAACAAGGACACACCTCAATCATGACATTTATCACACTGCCACGGAATTGTTGAATCACTTGTCTTTCTCCTTGAACAGATGGCAACTGCCTTCAAGGCTGGGGACATTTCTTATTGTTTTGAATTCCTAGCATCTGGCACAGTGCTTGGCACCCAGTCAGCCCTCTACAAACTTCAAAGAATGAAGGTAGGGAAGGGAAACACTAGCCAAATTACTGCATGATGCCCACCACCTTACAAGAAGGGAAAATGAGGCCCCAGGAGGCTAGTTCCTAGCTCAAGGTCACAGGGAAGTGACAAGAATCATATCACCTCCTGCCACTATAAAGTGTTAGATTTTCTACCAAGTTGTACCACCCTTTGCTGTAATCATAAGCAACGTGAAATAAATTACGGTATTCAGAATATTGACAGAGAGGGAAGGAATGAAGCATTCTTGCAAAACAGGTATCTTCAGCCACAGCAGAAAGTGTAAATGCACAACTACAACCAAACAGAAAACTACTGGGCTTGGAAAAATATCAGGGGTGAAATCATGCAGTGCAGAGGGCCAGGCATATCTATAAAGAGGATCCAGATAACATATAGACCATTCAGCCACACTCACTGGCATTAGATATAAAGAAAAATATATATTCTAAAAAGGAGGAAACTGAGGCCTTGAGATTCATGGACATATGGGACAGATGGAACTTGAACTTTCATCTCTTTAAATTCTCCACTGAGACATAAGACCAAAGGCTCTAGCTCAGGTACCCCCAGCTCTCCCTCCCATGTTCTGCAGGCATTTCTCACTGCTATGGGACTGATTTTAAAATTTCTCCCCATGCCTTTCCTTTGACAAATATTTGAGAGAACAACCCTTTGTTTCCAAAGTTTCTTTGAAAGGGGCCAAGGTCCAGAAACACCAGCAATTAGCTAAGGCGATTCCTATTTAACTTCATATTAATTGTATTTATCTTTCATACCAGAGGTTAAATGAGCAGTGAGAGGGCATATCAAATCACATATTAAATTTATTTGGCTTAGCAAAACAAAAGGGAGAAAAAGAAGACATGTAAGTTTTTATATGACAGAAATTATTTTCAAAGATTGCAAGTAGAGACTGTATTGGTTGTTTTAATATTTCAAGCAATATGCAATACCATAATCTAATATAAGAAAGTACATGGGGAAATAGCACTATAATATATTTAATAATACAATAAATTTCACAATATACTTCAGCCAACATGGGCTAATTCTGATGAAAGCTAAAATATATATGAACTTAAGAGTAGAAAAAAAAAAATCAGTCATCAATCCATGGCTCTAGGGAGTTCCAAAGCAGTTACAGATATCTTTAAAGAAATCAAGGCTTTAAAAGTTGCATATTTTCTTGTTTTAAAGAAAAAAAGTCCTTTTTCATGTTTATTACCTTTTTTCTTCAAATCTTCATCAGGTTCATACATCTCAATGATCTGCATTGCCCTTTTGGCATCATAAAATGGAAATAAAATTTCATTCAATCGAGGATCTCGTTGATGCTATGATAAGAAAATAACTCCATTTAGGTTGCTATTTCTTGGCCTTGAGGCATTAGACATTACTAAGTTTATAATTTATAAAACAAAGTATATCTAGACTATCATATTTATAATTACAAAGATAGGACTTCACTGCCTTCCTGCCTTTCTCCTTAAAATACACTTCAAAAAGTCCAGATTTGGGAGTACTTTGGGTTAGTCTCCCTGAACTAGAGAGAGAGAGAGAATACATTTTTCCCCTTCAAAAGTTGAAGGACACGTAATACAGTGTGCATGTCAATTGTACTGTCTTCCAGTTCCCACACAACAGGGAAGGCATTTGGCATAAATGTCTATAAAATGTGAGGTCAAAATATTTTAAAAAAGCAAACACCAACCCCCAAAAATAGTTCAAATAAATAGGTAATATACTAATTTAAGTGCCCCTCCAAAACCCCAGAAGTAGTAACAAGAAAAATCCTAATGTTACACAGGCAAACATTATCTCATTTTCATAACAGCTTTCTACGTCAATCCATGATTTCTTGGGCCCTCAACAAATTTCATTTTCTTGAGTAACTATTTTTTTCAAAATGAACCAATTGCAATGATGAAAATTAATCAGCACAAGCATATTTACAAGCTATAAACAATATAGAATTCTCTGGGCAGAGGGTCCATGAATGATTACAGGACTTAAGAGGTTGGTGACATTACTGTTTTCAAATCGACACCTAAGGAGCTCCTGCTATGACATGAGGCACCAGGAGCAATGCTGTCCCTGCAGTGATGTCATCCTAACTTCATGGCAATGATGAAAAATCTAGTTTACTAACTGACTCAGCTCCAATTGTGTGTGTGTGTGTGTGTAGGCAGTGGGTCCAATAAACTTCCTTTCTGTTCACTGAGGATTAGAGGACAGCACTGTGTCCCCGGTCATCCCTTATATAAATAAATGAATACATGAATAAATAAAGCAAACTTCAATGGAATAATGACAGATAAGCAGATGTGAGCAAAACCTGGTCAATAAAGAGGACCTTGGTGACAACTCTTTACCCAAATATATGCACAGACTGAAAAACATTGTTGGAAAGTTATTTAAAAAGTAACTGTTAAAAGTTCATATGGATTTCCCTTCCCTATTTGTTTTGGAATGGGCATTGGAAAAGTGAGCTATACACAGAATGAATGCTTTTGGCCAACAGAGCACTTGGATGTCATTTCCTCATGCATACGGGGCCCAGCGTTTTCTGGGTCCCCTTCTCCCCCACTGAGTTAAGAGCATTAACTCATAAAGAATCAATATCAAATTTCATCAACTTATCCCAATGAAGCATGCTTCTGTTGTAATCTAAAAAATTATGGCTCACAACAGCTCACATTCACGCATATGCTAGAACAGAAACTTATATTAACAGCAGGCCTTGAGGCCACCAGGAACAAAAGTTATGGGATATGCAGAGAAAGAGGATTGTGAAGTGGACCATGGAATGCCAGGCAAGTGAAGGCATGCTACACCTTGTTCAGGAAATTGATGCCATCATGCAATGGAGCCCACTACTCAAGGAAACAAGGAGCTCCATCCTTCTGGTGAGAATGCATTGTTTTAAAAACAAACAAACTGACAACAACAAAAAACCCATCTTTCTAGGCACATCCCTTCTCACATCTCCATAAATAATACCATGGAAGAAGATGAATACAGGATGAAAAAGGTCCTTTTTAGACCCCAGCACTGTTATGTTCATAGTTGGCCACTTTCTCTTCCTTATTAAAATTAAGTTTTTTTAAAAAAAATATGTTTGTTGGTAAATATTCTGAACTCAGTGAGATGATGGGGCAAATCCATATGAATTAAAAAATGAAGGAAAAAGGGATTCAGCTACAGGAGAGAGAAGAGAAAAAATTAGGAAAGGAGAGAAAACTCAGACATTTTTGTGCATTTCTAAATATACATGCATTTGTGTATTCTGACAAGGTACTACCTGAGGTGTAATCTGTGGATGATAGCATCAGCCTCACCAACGCCTGGCAACTTGCTAGAAATGCAGCTTCTCAGGTCCCTCCCTAGATCTACTGAATCTACTGATCTCTGGGGTGGAATCCATTAATCTGTGTTTTTCATAAGACTTCTGAGTAATTCTGATGTGCTCAAGTATAAGAATCACTTTACCTAACATATAAAGGTAGGCATTTTAACATATTCGCATATCAGTAAAAAGAAAAGTACCTAAGTCCCAGAAGGATAGAAGAATGTTCAGTGTTTCAGATGTCCTCCCAATTAAACACTATTAAAATTTAGTCAGAGGGTATGATATTCATTAGATCATCCTGCCTATGAGAAGCCAAAGCCAAGAAAACCAAGTCCTAAAATGGATGTATCATATTCTGAAAATTACATTTGCAGCAAATAAGCATGAAGCACAGACAATGTGAAATTGCATTTGTCTTTGCTTCTGCTCCACTAGACAACAATCTTCAGCTCTCCCTAAAACCTTCATGCTTCAAAAAGGTAGCATAAAGCAATCTGGGTAATCCGAAGGAAAGGAAACAAATGTAAGATTTACATTAGAGTAAAAAACTATTATTTTCATATGAAAAAACAAGAGGAGAAGGATCATTTCCAGCTGCTCTCACAGTAATAAGGCTGTGGTAGAGTTCAACATAGACACAAGCACAGTGAGGTGAATGCTTCACATCTCTGAGGAACTAACAGTTTTCAGGTAGGATTTGGGGAAACAAGGTACTCAGGTTATTCACCCCATGGTATCCAGTGCTTTGTAAAATGAGATTCTAAATGACTTCCAAAAAGAGGTCACAGAATTGTGTCCAAGTAAGTAAGGAGGAGATGAACAGAACTCCAGTATTATGTCCTTACTGGTACTGAGAAGAGGCCTCATCTGGCTTCAATCCAAGTAGCACTGGGAGAGATGAATGTTGACATAAATAATATTTTTTAAATATAGAAGGAATAATTGGCAAGGATAAGCTAATTCATAAGACTAAATACCCTCCTTCTCTCTCTGCCTGTGCATTTAAAGCATAAAGATCTTGTAAAAGGAAAGAGATCCTGGGTCCTTTTAAAATATTCTTTCATCTGCAAAAAGAAAAAAGTCAGGTTGAACCCTGCTGTGATCCTATGATATGTGTGAGGAAGGGGGAAGATTACCAGCAACAAGAAAGTAAAGCTACTTCTTGATTCCTGTGGACCTTTTTCCTCTCTTCCTTATTTTGATCTCTCTCTCCTGCCCTCAACCCATCTCCCGATTCTACAGGACCCTAGTTATCATCTTTGTAAGAAGTCAAACAGAGAATGAAGGTAAAACTAAAAATCAATTTTGCTTCTCATTAGGAATAGGGAAAGGGAGGTAAAACTAACCAAAGCCAAGAGATTTTAACCAGTCTTGCCACATACAAGCAATTGAGCTAGTAGTAGTGTCTCACCATGTGGCAGCTCACATTAAGTGCCTCTGCTATCCCTCCTGGACTCTAGTTTGCTATTTTCATAATATAGGCAAAGAAGATTTCTCTCAGTCCATTGGATGAGACTAAGAGACATAGATGTGGCAAAATTTTAGCTCTGAGTGGTGGATTCCTATGGCTAAATTCTTAGTGGAGAATAACAGGTGTACCTCACTCTCATATTCTTCTCACTCACACTAAACATTCCAAGGAGGAATCCAGTAATCCACTAGGATGGTGCTTTACACACTTGAACCTGTAAATAAATCACCTGGAGATCCTGTTAAATTCAGACTCTGACTCAGGAGGTCTTGGTGGGACTCAAGACTCTGCATTTCTAATAAGCTCCCAAGGGGTGCCGATGCTCTTGGTCCATGGATCACACTTTGGGGAGCAACGAACAAGGAGATACTGAGAAGCCAATGAGGAGTCAGGTCTAAAGCTACTACTGAAAAGCTAGTCAGTGTTGATTGTGTAGATAGGGAGGAGGTCACCCTATAGGGTGAACAAAGCAGTAAGTGGACTATATATATATAGTCTCTCCTCTCCTTGCAGCCCCCTGAAGATACACATTAGTATATGAATAAAAACTTTCATAGAAAGAGTGAAGGCATTTACCAGTTGGAAGGTGGTAGGAGCCAGCATGTCTTTTGCTAATATAAATGGGATTTAGGTTTTCCTACTATCTATTCTAACTGGTTAATGGTAGTGTATGTGTGTCTCCTGGTTTTTTGCTTTGCTCATTGTTTCTCTGGTTACCTTGCTGAACTCTCTAATTACTTCAAAGAGTTTTTCCATTGAATTGTTTATATCAGGGTAGACAATCAGCATCTGCAAATGAGACTAGGACCCTGTCCTTTCCAGTGTTCATGGGACTTGCTTATTTTTTATTTTTATTTTTATTTTGTCTCATTATATGAACCAGTGGACTGGAAAAACTTGAAATGTTTTCAAGTAAAATAAACATTGTATTGTACTCAAAGGATTTAAAAGTAGAGGCATCTGTCTGATATGTGGGGTAGTATTTGCTCTTTCTTGCATCAGTGCATTTACACTTTAGTTAACATAGTTTCTAAAGTGCAACCTTTATAAATCTGAAGCCATTGAACCTTCACAAGGAACCTTCACAGGGGCTTCCAATGCAGTGTTGGATACTGGCTTGTTGAGACTATGTGGCTAAGGCATTTTGAAAATGTTTAGGTTTAAACTTTTGGAGTCATAGACTCTTACATTCCAATGCCCATTCTTTCTTGAGTGAGCTCTCTCTGTCTCCTTTTGAAGTTGTTCTGCCCAAGGGGTGTTGTTGATTTTGGAGAGGTAAGAGGGTCCAGGGTAGGACTCAAAAGAGGGGGTGCAAGGAACAGGTAGAATGTTCTCTATGTTTGACAAGCCTTCTTCAAGCAGACATTCAAGTTTTTTGTCTAGTTCTTCCAGTTGAGTTCACTAGGATAGAAAAGGAAGACATTCAGGGTAGACACTTGGATTAAAAATAAATCCTTCCTGAGCAGTCTTACAGTCTCTATGATCTAAAGAAATCTAGAATCACACTGATTCCATCAGTCATACCCCAAAATTTAAGGTGCTTCCTTAATGTGAATAAGACATCAAATAGAAGGAAACACTATTAAAAAAAAAAAAAAGAATGCTATTGTCTACTGTAATAGTGAGTGATAAAAGGTTGACAAATAATAAATACTTTAAGAAAGAATCTGAATCGCAGAACAAGAAAGTATGGATGGTGATATTTTTTAAAAATTAAATGTTATGTCTAAGAATTACAGGAGTGACTATTGGGCACACCAACAAAAACAACGCATAAAAGGAAATGCATCAGATAAGAGCCTATAAATACTGCACGTATCCTCAGGACCTCAGAGTTGTTTCATCCTTTGAACAGTGAAATGCAGCATTAAGGTCTCTGTAATGTTTAATAGAGGGCTTCATCCCAAAGAGCACAAGAGGCCTTGTCTTGGAAAGTGGCAAACTGAAGATGTGGTAGATTTTCTCCTTTACACTAAACTGTCTTCCCTCTTCACCTCACCAAACCTAAGATGATCAATGAACCAAAGTGCATGAAGAAGCCAAGGGACATAAAACAAAACAAAACAAGAAACCAAAAAACAAAAGGCAGAAGAGGGGGAAGGGGTTAAAGAAACAAAACAAGGCAATTTAACTTCTGAGCAGCTGTGACATAAGAATGTGGATAATATCTGGGTAAAGATTATGAACATTGTATTTATATGACGAAAAACCAGTGGAGTGGAAAAACTTGAAATGTTTTCAAGTAAAATGAACACTGTATTGTACATGAAGGATTATTTGAGAGGCATCTGTCTGATATGTGGGGTAGGACTTTCTCTTTCTTGCATCAGTGCATTTACACTTTAGTTAACATAGTTTCTAAAGTGCAACCTTTATAAATTTGAAGTCACTGAACCTTCACAAGGAAAGAAAAGAAGATGTAATTTGTCTCTATGAAGTGGCAAGTTAAGGTCTGCCTTTTTATCTTTTCTTAAGATAATACCTTTTATCTGTCATGATACCGTCTTTTCTGGCATTTTCTCTTTATATGGTATAATGATTAACTTAAATTATTTTGAAACAAAAGCATATTGTCCCTCCTTCACTTAAACTCTTATTAACGTGTTAGAAAAAAAAGTGAATTTTCCATTTTGGATTAACAAGATTCTTGATGGGTTTCACTGAAGGGAAAACATTTTTTGCTTGTGTGAAGAAAAAAGTAGTTCATTTTAGTTGTAATAAAAGTTGCAAACTTTTTTTGTTCTAAAATGTTTTTCTCTTGTGCTTAAGCAAATTTTATCAACCAGTTTTGGTTGTTACGTTAATCACATTATAAAATTAGCTCTGAGCTTGTTATAAAAAGAAAAAGTACAAATTTAACCTGCAATCCTATTGGCCTAAAACTCAATATATTTTCACCCAGGAACTCAAGTGTTTTGCTTGTTGTCAAAATATTCTATTTGAGCCAACATATTTTTCTTACATGCAATCCATTAAAAGACAAAAATAAAGCTTTCCAGTCCATGCAAAGGTATGAGATAAAGTTAGCAATGGAGAATCCAACTACAGTCTAGTAAACTCAATCCATTCTCTTTCTATTTAATGAGATCAATAGAAAAAAAAAGTACCTTAAATATCATCTTGCAAAAACAAAGACACATTTACTTAAATGAATATATTATACAATTCACACATACACACAGAACCAGAGCTACATATAACAGCCAGAAACCAACAAAAAGCGGTGTGCAAAGCCAACGTGAAGAAAGCACATGAACACACAGGGCAGCAGCTGATTTTTGCACCTGGTAAAGCCATAATGGAAAGATCAGCAGGTCAGAAGCAAAGCGAATAAGGGCATATGATGCAGGCATGCAATGAGGACACCAGAGAAGGCAAGCCACTGCACACAGACTTTATGGAGTTAATGTATGAAAAAGCTTACTTCATTTAGAAAGCTCACTAATTGGTCTACCGTTAAATAATCAGTTTTGTCTCCATTGCTGAAAAGAAATTTATTAGAAAAAGTAAGTTTTTGTATATGATGCTACAGTAGGTACGATTTACATGTTGACATTTGTTGATGATAATTCTAAACTTATTTTCTAACCCTGAAGTAGTGGTGAATTCTTAAAATGGCCAGAGACTGTTCATAAGGGGAGAAAAATACAACAACAACAACAACAACAAAAGAAAGAAAACACTCCCACTAGGTCACAGAAAATGTCTGCAAATTTATTTTTTTAGTTTTTTATTTTTTTTACCATTTTCAGAAGATGTTACTTCAAAAACAACATGTAAGTCATCCATTTGAAATAATTGGAATGAATGAACTTTTCAAAAACATATTAACATTCCAAATTGAATCTAGTTAGTTCACATAATGGGTTAATACCTAAAGGAGCAGGTTAAAATTGTAGGTAGTTAGTAAAGCCAATGCAAAAAAAAAGTTCCAGGTGCTGCAATTAATGTATGTAAAAGTTTCTCAAAAACTCAGAGTGAACTTTTACACTGACAAACTATGGGGTGAAAAATGTAACCCTGACTAGATATTCCTAATACTACCAACATACTATATTAAAATAGGACAAAAACGTTTTAAAAATAAAAAAGGACAGTGATAATATTTATATGACACTTCCTCATATGTGGAACTTACATTTTTTTGAAAAGATCTTCTATATCTGTCCGAGGACAAATCTTTTGTGTCAGTTCATAGAACTTTTCATAAGTAAATGCCGTGGGCTCAATTTCATCGTTCTGTAAGGAACAAAATCATGTCATGAATCACAGAACCTTTTTTCCCTTGGAGGGTGAGAATCTATGAAGGTTCATGAAGCAAGGTGAAGACCACTTGGACTCAGGGCCTTCATCTCTGATTCCTGCTGACAGAAGCCCGGAGGCCAACTTGCAGGCACTGCCAGGCCATCTCCCTAAAAAACAGTGCGTGTACATCAGTTTTTCTAGTTATCACGCTGCCAGACTCTGTGTGTGTGAACACCTGGCTACAGCTGGGCTTGCTCTGGGAAATACCCCAAAGAATAAATATAAACATTTCCTCCAACTCACCTTGAGGGAGAAAAGTGTCTGCCTGAGGGATGCTGAATAAATCAAGCCCAAGGTTTAATTATGCTTATTTAGTGAATTTTCACAAGACCATGTGAAGGGGCTTAGGGTAACCATGTAAGATTTTACTTTTCATACTGAAATTTATATTTCAAATAGGACTTATTAAAATAGTACCAGGCTTCAATCTTTCTTGAAGTCAATAAATTAATTTCAATTTTTTTAAATTTGAAGGGCCATGAATACAAATGGTGTGGGGAGAGATGCTTCACAAAATATTGCACAACCACCTTGTAAAACTGAATTTATTAGTTACTTATTCATGCTAATGTTGTGCCTGGTTGAGGCAGTGTTGGTGAGCTTCTTTAAAATAAACTGTGTAACACAGCGAGCTGGCCTTCATTTCTTTTTCTTAAGAAAGGTAACAAAAATCATTCAAAGCAAACTATTTACATTTTTAGAGATTTAGGTTAAAATGCCCAGGAAACAAAAGGAAGGAAGGGAGGAAGGAAAGGAGGGAGGGAGAGAGAAAGGGAGAGGGAGGAAGAAGAAAGAAAAGAAAATTAACTGTACTATATGTCACTGACATATAATTCCAAATCTAATTGAGATCAGTTTAATATAAATAATCTAGCTCACTACATATGAGAAGATAAATAAACAAAATGGTTTTAGAAATACATTGTTAAGTTAATGAATACCTTTCCACTGGGAAGACCTAACTCCTTGAGTGCTTGAAAGATCACCTTTTCTGTTTTCCCCGATGCAAAGGTTCTAGTAATACTAGGGCAGAAAAGAAAGAAAGACACATTAGAGTTATTGTTCATTATGTTTTCTCTGATGCAAAGATCCAGGTCCTACTATGGAGAGTGAGACTAGGGTAAAAGGAAAAGGAGAATAAAATTACTTCTCATTTGCTGATGCTTTTCCATTCCCCAAACTAGTTCCTCCAGTGTCCCTCTGGTTCCCGGAGCTGGTTATGCTAGTGATGCAACTTGAATCTAAGACTGGGGTCCCCTGGTGCTTGGGAGAACAAGGGGCAAGGGGCACTGGAGGGACACACATTTATTTTTTATTTTTTTATTATACTTTAAGTTCTAGGGTACATGTGCACAAGGTGCAGGTTTGTTACATATGTATACATGTGCCATGTTGGTGTGCTGCACCCATTAACTCATCATTTACATTAGGTATATCTCCTAATGCTAACCCCTCCTGATCACCCATGACAGAGCTCCGGTGTGTGTGATGTTCCCCTTCCTTAGTGTCCAAGTGTTCCTCACTGTTCAATTTCCCAAGCCTATAGGATGATGGTTTCCAGCTTGCATCCATAGTACCCTGCAAAGGACATGGAACATACCATCCTTTTTTAGCAGGCTGCATATGATACTATTCATGGCTGTATATGTGCCACATTTTCTATCTAATCCATCTATCATTGATGGACAATTGAGTTCTGGTTCCAAGTCTGATTATGTGAAATAAGTGCCAAATAAACATGCACTGTGCAATGCTGTCTTTACAGCAGCCATGATTTATAATCCTTTAGGTATATACCCGCAGTAAATGAGATGGCTGGGTCAAGGGTAATTTCTTGCTCCTAGAATCAGCTTGAGGAAATCGCCCACAGAGCCTGTCTTCCACAAGGTTGAAGTATTTAACAGTGCCCACCAACAGTGTAAAAGTGTTCCTATTTCTCCCACATCCTCTCCACGCACTGTTGTTTCGCAATTTTTAATGATGCCATTACTAACTGCCCCAGCGCTGTGGAGATGGTATCCACTTGTTGCGGTTTTGAATTTCGCCATTTTACCTGCATGGCCCAGCTGATGATGAGCATTTTTTCATGTGTCTATTGGCTGCATAAATGTCTTCTTTTGAGAAGTGTCTATTCATATCCTTTGCCCACTTTTTGATGGGGTTGTTTTCTTCTTGTAAGTTTGTTTGAGTTCTTTGTAGGTTCTGGATATTAGCCCTTTGTCAGATGAGTAGATTGCAAAAATTTTCTCCCATTCTGTAGGTGGCCTGCTCACTCTGATGGTAGTTTCTTTTGCTGTGTAGAAGCTCTTTCGTTTAATTAGATCCCATTTGTCAATTTTGGCTTTTGTTGCCATTGCTTTTGGTGTTTTAGACATGAAGTCCTTGCCCATGCCTATGTCTGAATGGTATTGTCTAGGTTTTCTTCTAGGGTTTTTATGGTTTTAGGTCTAACATTTAAGTCTTTAATCCATCTTGAATTAATTTTTGTATAAGGTGTAAGGAAGGGAACCAGTTTCAGCTTTCTACATGTGGCTAGCCAGTTTTCCCAGCACCATTTATTAACTAGGGAATCCTTTCCCCATTTTTTGTTTTTGTCAGGTTTGTCAAAGATCAGATGGTTGTAGATGTGTGGCATTATTTCCGAAGGTTCTGTTCTGTTCCATTGGTCTGTATCTCTGTTTTGGTACCAGTACCATGCTATTTTGGTTACTGTAGCCTTGTAGTATAGTTTGAAGTCAGGTAGCGTGATGCCTCCAGCTTTGTTCTTTTGACTTAGGATTGTCTTGGCAATGTGGACTCTTTTTTGGTTCCATATGAACTTTAGTTTTTTTCCTATTCTGTGAAGAAAGTCCTTGGTAGCTTGATGGGGATGGCATTGAATCTATGAATTACCTTGGGCAGTATGGCCGTTTTCACGATATTGATTCTTCCTATCCATGAGCATGGAATGTTCTTCCGTTTGTTTGTGTCCTCTTTTATTTCACTGAGCAGTGGTTTGTAGTTCTCCTTGAAGAGGTCCTTACAATCCCTTGTAAGTTGGATTTCTAGGTATTTTATTCTCTTTGAAGCAATTGTGAAAGGGAGTTCACTCATGATTTGCCTCTCTGTTTGTCTGTTATTGGTGTATAAGAATGCTTATGATTTTTGCACATTGATTTTGTATCCTGAGACTTTGCTGAAGTTGCTTATCAGCTTAAGGAGATTTTGGGCTGAGATGATGGAGTTTTCTAAATATACAATCATGTCATCTGCAAACAGGGACAATTTGACTTCCTCTTTTCCCAATTGATTATTTTTTGAGACAGAGTCTCAGTCTGTCACCCAGGCTGAAGTGCAGTGGTGCTATCTCAGCTCACTGCAATCTCCGCCTCCCAGGTTTGAGCAATTCTCCTGCCTCCGCCTCCTGAGTAGCCAGGACTACAGGTGTACACCACCACACCCAGGTAATTTTCGTATTTTTAGTAGAGATGGGGTTTCACCATATTGGTCAGGCTGGTCTCAAACTCCTGATCTCAGGTGATCCACCCACCTCAGCCTCCCAAAGTGCTAGGATTACAGGCGTGAGCCACAGCGCCCGGCTTGGTATACAAATTTTTGGACAAAAACAATGATAAATTCTGATGCTACCAAATTACCTTCTTATGCAAAAGGAATGTGACAGATAAGACAGCTCTAGAACAAACCCTCATGTTGACGATATCTGGGCCTGGGGAAAAGGAGATGTCCCCTTACAACTCAACCCATGCCTTCAGTTTTCCTTATCCTGGTTCCCACACTTAACCACAGTTGACATAGGTGTGAACAGACATATTTTGTTCTTGTTTACAAGCTAAGCACCCTTGAGCCCCTCTGAAATGTCAGCTGCCTCAAGGATTAAGGACTTTATTATGAAAATGATGGGTTGGGTGAGGGGGAAGGGGAACAATTATCCAATGTTTCAACAAATCTCGGTAATACCCCAAGACATAGTATTTTTAGATAGCCTTTTAACTAGAACAGTGAGCACCAAGACTAGTAGAATAGATAACACCTTGATGAACACACTTTCTGGTAATGATAAAAGTAGGAGAGACTCTCCATTATAAATGTGTTGGTGCCACTCAGAATGAAAGCTATTGAGCAGAGGACTTGATGCCCTGGAACACCAAACTTATCTCTGACCCATACCTTAGCCACCAAGGAGCCTTCACTCGCTCTCTGATTGTGTTACCATGATAATTTAATTTTAACTTGACATTCAGAAGTCCAGCTTGACTTGAGGATAGAATTTTACTTCTATCTATGAAGGCTGGCTTTGGAATGCCTCCCCTGTGAGCACAGAAGGATGTTTAACAGCATCTCATGCCTGGCGTTTTTGTACTTTCCGCCATCCATGCTAAGTACAAGGCAAGCTCTAAATGAGAGTGCTGATAGTTCATCTTTGTGAGTGGGAGAAAGCACCACTCCAGTGGCAGAGTAGGACTTCCCAAAATAGACTAAGAAGAAGTAGCTTTAGGTAAATGAATTGTGTTCATTCACAGCTTTATTGTTTCATGCCAGGTCCAAGAACACTTCAAGTAGTACATTTTTAAGAGTTCTTGAGACAGTTGTATTCAAATATAAGGAGGCCTGTGAATTCTCTTTAACAAATCTACAAATATGGGAGAGAATATGTATGTGACATCAATAAATGGTTAAGATTCCTAGTATAGAGGGTGCTATGTTTACATTTTTCATCTCTAGAGTTCATGTAATTTTTATACATTAAATTGGGATAAGACAAAAATTTTCTCGCCTTTTTAATTTAGGGGAAAGTAGCTGTTCAGGGTGACTTTTATTTCATAAAAAGTTTGTGTTAACCTAGCTAGTAAGACTGGTAGGATCTGGCACCTGCTATCAGGAGAAGAATCTCTGCATAGCAATCGCAGAGGTATCCCAGCTAACTGAAGCCTCTGTTAGATTTGGACATGCCTGGCATAACAAGATGAAAACTGATCAACATGGGCATGAATTCAGCGGGTACGGAGCCTGAGCCTTTCCGGTGAAACAGAACCTGGGTACCAATAGGTTCTATTTCCTACACAGGAATTGAATCTTTGGCTAGGGTTTGGCCAGATGCCGAAAAATAGAAAGTAGAAGAATGTCTCAAGGGGAAGGGAGATGGAGCGGGGAAAGAGGAGAGATAATATCGTGGCTGTGTTTCATGGGAACATAGAGTATTTACAAAGGGAATGTGATTTACTCAAATCTCTAGATAGCCCCATGTCCACAGAAGCTTAGTGCCTCATAGCTAACTGGTACTCAATGAGTTTTTGTTGAATCAAAATAAACCACCGCCCATTCCCCGAAAGAAATGCTAGAAAAGCAAACACCCCTGAGTTGTGTCCAGTCCTATTAGAGTCCTGGTTAAATTCTATTCCAGGGGACTTTGCAAGTGGTTAAAACAGCAGCGATCCTATAAACTAAGGGAGTCCTACTCTTTGCTAGCTGGCACAGGGTCTGCAATCTACACGATGGTTTTAACACCACGTTCTGAAATTTACAGAGAACTCTTCAGTGAAGGATGGGGCAACTGCCCCAGCAGAATCATATCTTCTTCATGCGCTGCTGCGCCTTCAGGATATGGATGGGCTGATTATATAGGAGTGCTTCCAAGACTGCACCTGCGGCTCTCAGCCTTCTCTAACACAGCCATCTTGTTTGGGATCTCTTCCAGCCCCTGCCCACAACTAATGTCTGGCTATTCATTTCCCAATTTTCCAGTCATTGGTGTCCACTCCAGGTTATGAGGGAGGAGGGAAGGTGGCAAAAGAGAAGTGTTATTTCCAAAACTTTGGTCTGAGTGGGAGGATAAACTGAGTGTGAATTTGTGAATTTGAGAGAAAGGCAGAATGCATGGGTTATGTACACAGCAAGACAAGAGAAGAGGGAGATTTTCTTCATGTGTTATTCCTGCAACTTCCTGGATATTAAATTTTGGTTTAATGCTAAACAGCAGGAACCCTTCCCAAGCTATGTAATCACTCTGAAGCCAGATCTCTTTTAATATTATGGACAGTACACTAATAGTTTCCATTTTAAAACCTTCAGAATGATAGTGAAGAAATAACGTTTTTATAGTATTTACTCTTCATACCCATTAAAACATTCACAACAATTTCCACCTAACTCTTGGCAGCTCATTCACCAATAGAGTTATCTGATTTTTTTTTTTTTTGGCATGGTATCAATTCTCCATCAACACTAACAAACTGCCCCCAAATCACAGCTGCCTTGTGTCAAACACCTGTTAATACTGGCAAGTACCACAGAGTCCATGTCAAAGAGAGCTAAAGACACCAAAATATCTAAGCTATTTCTACAAAGATGTGGTAATAATTTTGTATGTGAACATGTTAGATAAAAATCAGTGGAATCAGAAACGACTTCAAAGCTTGTATGACAATGACTTGATTCGTAGGATACATACAAATGAAACCAAGACTGCTGGTTAGAAGTGCTTTGATCACAATCTATGTGTCTCTACTTTGCCCATTTCCTGAACCTTATCTTGGAAGAAAAAGCAGGATAGTAAGGCATGTAAAAACACATCCAGCCTACATTTCTATTCTTCACACTGCTTTGTGCTGTCTGATTTTAAATAAAAATGCAATAGCCGTAGGGTACTGGGATACATTAAAATAATTGTTCTGCTATTGCTCTACTGAGCAAAGGATTTTAAATAAGGATAAGCATAAAGTATCTGCCAATAGCCATCAGTCAAGGCTGCTAACAGGGCTTTTTTCAAACTTCTAAAGTAGACAAAAGGTTGACTTGCTAGCAAGTTATGAAATAAAAGCAGAGAATCCTACAGATAGATTTGGAAAGACCACAACAAATGCATGAGGTCTGTGACTCAGTAAGCCCTCAATAAAGGGTTAAATTAAAAAAATATATTGTCCAAGGTCTTCTTCATGACTTCTATGCTTTACATTTTCTCGATATTTAAGTGGTCACACGGATACTTTAGGTCGTGATTGTTTAATACACAAGACTGAGAAAAACGATGACTTCTGGGACAATTCTGTTAAATATGAAAAGAGTAATGTCAAGGGAGTATGGAGACAGTCTCACAGGGATGCAGAAAGGAAGCTGCAGAGCAGAATGAAACAGCTGAGAAGGGAAGGTGGGAAAGGAGAGTCAGAAATGGCCAGGAGCCACCAGCACATGCCACTGCTCCGTGCATCCACACAGATGCTGTGCACTTGGTGACCTGGTCATCTCTGAAAGAAAGATCAATTCTAAGACAGGATTCCGTCTAGTAGTTCTGGGTTTTGTTTGTTATTATTTGTCGATTTGCTTATTTGTTAAAGTGGTGTCCAGAGAAGTGAACATAAACCTGAGTCTGGAGAATCCTGGAAGATAGAGTTGGTATCTGGGGAACCCATGTTTGATTCTGGTCATGGGCTTAGGTTCATGAATCCAGATATACGCCTGTCTTCATGTGAACAGCAGATGCCCCGGGACCCAGCCCAACTTCTGGAATTTCCATGAATGCTTAAAACAAACACCAACCACAAAGGTACTAGAGAGTGGTAAAGAATTCCCATCACTGCTGTCGAAAGAGTTTCCAACTGCACCCAGAGACCATGTGTAAACCCTAACCTCTGGAAGGACGTGAGAAGCAGAAAAGAGGGATGCATGGGGAATTCTCAGAGGGTGAAATCTGTCTACCTAAGTATCAAAGAACACATGTGGAGCACGTATCCTGTCCATGTTTTCTTTATTCTTGATTCCACCCAAGCCTATTTATTTATTTATTTATTTTTTGAGATGGAGTCTTGCTCTGTCGCTCAGGCTGGAATGCAGTGGCAGGATCTTGGCTCACTGCAAGCTCTGCCTCCTGGGTCCACGCCCTTCTCCTGCCTCAGCCTCTCAAGTACCTGGGAGTATAGGCGCCCACCACCAACCCCGGCTAATTTTTTTTTTTTGTATTTTTAGTAGAGACAGGTATCACTATGTTAGCTAGGATGGTCTTGATCTCCTGACCTCGTGATCCACCCACCTTGGCCTCCCAAATCCTGCTGGGATTACAGGCGTGAGCCACCGCATCCAGCCCCAAGCCTTTTTATTCTTTGTCACTGTTACCTGCGTAAGGGCAAAAGTGGAAAGGACAGCTCCACAGAGTGTGTGGTGTCAGTTACAGTACACGTAGAGAGTAGGCAGCACGAAGCCAGAGGAGGAGCCCTATCTACCCTGAGCACCAGATGAGCAGCAAAGCCCAGAATGAAAATGCTCTGTTCAGAGGCATCACAATTCTCAAGACACGGTCCACACCCTTCCACAGTAGGTGCACAATATAATCTTTAAGTTTAGCTAACAGTTGCTCAGGGCAAATAAGCAAAAGAAACATAAATCCTAAAAACCCACTTATTTGCAGATTTTAAAAAACAGTGCTGGCCAGGCGCAGTGGCTCACACCTGTAACGAGGCGGGTGGATCATGAAGTCAGGAGATCAAGACCATCCTGGCTAACATGGTGAAACCCCGCCTCTACTAAAAATACAAAAACAATTAGCCAAGCGTGATGGCAGGCGCCTGTAGTCCCAGCTACTCGGGAGGCTGAGGCAGGAGAATGGCGTGAACCCGGAGGCAGAGCGTGCAGTGAGCAGAGATCCCGCCACTGCACTCCAGCCTGGGCAACAGAGCGAGACTCCATCTCAAAAAAACAAAACAAAACAAAACAAAAAAACAAAACAAAAAAAAGTGCTACATTTTCTGATGTTTTTTTAAGTTGTCAAAGTACCTCTTTTGCCACCTATTTTGACCAAAAAAAAAAAAAAATGCAGCTTTACTTCCGTAAATGATTTTTACCAACTGAATATAGCATTTGTCAAAGCAATTGAAACTAAGATTCCAGAAATATCTTTAAAGCATTTAACACATAAATACTTGTGAAGGGTTCTCTCTTTGGTTTGGGATCACAAGGGTTGATCCAGGGCATGGACAGCAGATAGGAATGATTACTTACCTCCTAACTGGAATTTTACCATTTGTGTTGGTCATAAATGCCAATTTCATCCAGCTGCAAAACAATAGCAATAACACTGCCTTAATGTTTCTTAGGGTGAACAGCTTCAATTCTGTTAAGAACTTTAAAACAAAGTTCATTCAAATCAAGAACATTGGTTCTGAAAATCAGACAATTATGTACTATGAGATGAATTTAGGGTTGTCAGATTTAGCACATAAATATACAGAGCTCTCAGTTAAACTTGAATTTCAGAAAAACAACAGTTTTTTTTTTTTTTTACTGTAAGTATATTCCAAATATTCCATAGGATATACTTATACTAAAATATAATTTGTTTCTTATCTAAAATTCATCTTTAACTAAGTGTCCTCTATTTTATCTGGCAACCCTAGCTAAATGAGATGACTGCATGCTTGCAATGAGCAAAACACATCGTTTGTACTTATTTGCGATTGGTCTGCTCGATTATTGCTCTGTAATAATATATTAAAGTGGTGGGAAATGCAACTGCACGGTGACACCAGCCAGCCTTGTCTTGAGGACTCATGAGAACTCATCACTCCCAGCTCCTAGTGCTGCCAAGTACTGATCACATGGCTGCCTCCTTAATTTCCAGTGGTAAGACTAGTTCATCAACTCAAATTGATGGTGAACAATTCCTTGCTTTCCCCAGGCTTTCAGGAGACTCAGAACCTTTATCTGTACTTTGGAGCTAGGACTCTTCTTTGCTAATGACTCCCATTCTCACTGTTTCCAATCAAAATGTGCTAACAATCTGCAGAACATGATGATGTGGTAAAGTTTCTGTCTTAAGTTTCATAGACGCACCACTAACTACTTTAATAAGGGGATGTTTTAGGGATGAAGGGAGTAAGCGAAGAAGATTGGGCAGAAAAAAGAGTTAAGCAAAGTTGTGGTCTCAGATGGAGTTTGATTTAGCTTGAACTCACGTGAGATTGTGAGTGAACTCTCATGTGATTTGTGCCAGATTTGGCAGTAAGAGGGATGGCCTACTGTACCCCATTGCAGCTCATCATTGGCTGTGGACTTCCCGCCAGAGGAGGGAAGAGTATAATCTTCCAGGAATGGGAGCTCCCCTTCAGCAGAGGGCAATGCTCTGAAGAAGCGGACAGGTCTGAGCCCTTGGTGAGCCCATCCCCATGGCAGATGATGGCTGGGTGAACACCAGCTTCATAAAGGGATCTGGGCAGGATGTTGCCAGATCTCATGTCAGCTACAGATATTTGTGTCACTCAGGTATAAGTAAGCCTTCTAAAGGTTTTTGATCTTTTAGGGCTATCAGTGCCTGAAGTCATAGCATCAGAATATCCACTGGGTTTCTCTTTAAAAACACATGCCAGGGCAACTGCAGAGGAAAAGGAGAAGCAGCTGCACAACAAATAGAAATAGATAAGACGAAATAACTTTCCTCCACTAAGAGGATGAAAGAAAATTGGAGGGGTACCATAACAATTAAGGTAAGTAGTACTGAATAAAGAATACTTTCCAATTTCATCTGCATGGTAATTTTTATGGGGACAGTGAGGAACAAGTCTAAGAATTTGCCATGGTGAAGCTCGGATTTATAGCCTAGAGACTATACCTGTAAGCACCTGCTACAATGACCAGAAGATAAGACATGACAGTACCTTTAGGACTAACCTCTTGGCCCATTGCCAAGTGAGTATGATGAATCACACTCTTGGTGCTCGGGCATAATTTTGAGAGATGCAGGCTTATCCCTGCAATTTCTCGACATGGTTACTCTTGGCACCTCACAGCTGCCTGCCAACGGCCCTGTGAAGGCAGATGGCCCCCACCTTCATGGATCACTGCTTTTCAAACTGGCTGACATTTGACTTTGGCTAGGATTCCTTTGTGGGTGATTTTCATGTCACCTTGAAAGGTTAACTTGGGTAGGATTTAAATCTACCACTGTAGTACTCCTCTGGATTTCAGATACTGTAAGCTGGAGTAATTCCTTCTTTCATGGAAACAATAAATTCGGAAATCACCATTGGATCCTTGATCAAATCTTTAAATGACTGAATCCTACAGAAAAAAATTCAGAGGTATCTTTGAATTCCTGATTGTGTGCTAAACAGGGAGCACGGCACTTGGGGCTGAGGCTTCTTTTTCACTCTAGTATGGGTGTGTTGGCAAGTGCTTCTCTTGGCCACACTCCTCATTTCTCAGTTTTATGCAGCAGAGGATTGAATTATCCCAGCACTCAGCGATGGCCCCAGACATGGGCAGAGCTGTCTGTCAGAAAACTCAGTCTGGGGACACAAAAGCCAGTACCCACAACTGACAGGATACAGAGTGACTCAGGTTCCAGTGTCCTTTGGCCATCAACTATTCTTTTCATATAGGTTTTGGGCTGTGGGTTTATCATGCATACCCTTCTAGGTGGTATGAAGAGTACCGATGTGTGTTGGCCAACTCCAAGGTCAGGAGCATGGAGGGAAAAGCAAGTAGGAATTTGCCTGAGGAGGAAGGAACCACCTAGCCTTCATCTCTTCATCTGACCGTTTGTTTGATAACTGCCAAGAAGAAAGAGTAATGCAAACAACACTCACTGTTTCTTGAGGCACGTCATTGGACTGACATTGTTGGCCCTGAAGTTGTGTATGATTGATCTCAGGCCTTCTACCCATTGCTGAAAGAGAAAAAAAATATTCTTGGTGAGCAAATCTGCTGGAGTTAAATAGAGTGGTTTTTATTGGATAGATTGTATCCATTTTGTGTAATAAAAACACAAACTCTTCTTTTGTCCCTTTCCTGTTGCACAGTCATCTATATTTTGCCTGCTCATATTTTATTCTTTAATAAACAGCTTTCATTCTTTCCATGAAGACAAATGTGCCATCTATTGTGCCATTAAACTCTGGGCTGCCACAGAGGAATGCTGCCCACTGATTGACTTGTGAAGCTTTCCATTTGCGGCTTGTTTAAATATAAGCCCTTTTTCAGTTGCTGACAATCTTAGTTATTTCCAACCAGCATTATACAATACATAATGACATATTTAACTATTTTTATTTTAGAGGATAAATGCATAGGGTTTCATCAATTTTATTGTGTGATCCTTTCAATCTAAGAGTTTGTTACATATCTTACCTGACTGTGTTTTCCAGCAAAGCCTTAAAAAGTAAAATGTTCTTTGATTGCCAGGGTGATCAGAGCAAACAGTGATGTGTTCACATAATTTCTGTATAAGGCCTTGGACCTCACTTGTAGTTCATACCATCACTCCATGGATTTACAAGGACAAGTGAAGGGAGATTGTGCATGGCAGTAGAGGAATTTGGGTCTCTAAAAGGGCATTTACTAGAAAAGCTTAGCCCATGAATTAAGGCCAAATCTGCCCTTGGGTCCAAAAACTGATGCCAATGAATGCCATAAAAGAATCACACCCTTGGCAAAACACTTCGTAGCAAGTTGATATTGTGGGTTAAATAGAACTGTGGCCCACACATAAGCTGATTCCTTACCTTCTTAGGTTTACAGCCTGACTGCTTAGATTTATGGCTTAGTGCTGAGGAAGGGAAAATATCTTGGAATGGACAGTAATATAGATGTAAACTCTATCTGCACTGTCTAGTATGGTATCCACTAGCCACATATGGCTATTTAAATTTAATAAAGTTCAGTGTCTCATTTGTACTAATCACATTTTACATGCTTAAACACCAATATGGGGTTGATGGCTCAGACAGTGCAGATAAAGAATATTTCCATCATCACAGATGGGACTGTTGGACAGCACTGCCTAGTAGAACCAGGTTTAAAAAAGTCAAGCAATTTAATCTCTGTAAGGGCAAAGGTGATGACTACATTCCAACAGAGTATGGTTTTGTTTTGCTTTGTTTTTTGCTGTTTAACGTTTCTTTTAATTGTGTTGAAAATGGATATAACATAAAATTTATCCCTTCACCGTTTTTAAATGAAAAATTCAGTGGCAGTAAGTACATTCACGTTGTTATGCAACCAACATAAACAGTCATCTCCAGAACTCTTTTCCTCTTGCAAAACTGAAACTCCATATCCATTAAATAACTCCCCATCCCCCCTCCTCTCAGTCCTTGATTAATATTAATACCATTCTCCTTTCTGTCTCTATGATTCTGACTATGCTAGGTGCGTCATATAAGTGGAACCATACAGAATTTGTCGTTTCGTGACTGGCTTTCTTCACTTAGCATAATGTCCTCAAGGTTCATCCATGCTCTACCATGTATCGGAATTTCTTGCCTTTTAAAGGCTGAATACGCTCATCTATTCATCTCTGATGGACTCCTTGTCCACTGTGAATCGTATGTCTACTATGAACATTGGTATCCAAATAACTCAAGTTACTGCTTTCCATTCTTATTTATGGATAAATAACCAGATGTGGAACTTCTGGATCATAAAGTAATTCTATTTTTTAATTTTTAAAGGAAACACCATACTCTTTTTCATCGTGGCCATACCATTTTTCCCCCCCACCAACAAAGGACTGCAAATGCAACAAGGGAACCCTTTTGCTCAAGGGTTCTAATTTGTCTACATCCTCAACAACACTTGTTATTTTTCTGGGATTTTTTGTTTGTTTGTTTTCTTAAGTAGTAGCCAAACTAATGGATGTGAATCTAATAGTTTTTACTGATCCTGGTCATACCTAAGTTTTCTGAGGGAAGGCTCAGGGGTTATAAGAGGTAAATTTTCTTTTGTGACTAGCAAAAGCAGAGCTGTAAATAGCATCGAAAGCCTCAGCAAGCATAATGGTGGAGTCAGGATTCTGAAGGAAGAGGAAGAAATGAAATAGTAGAATTAAAGAAATGCCTCAATTATTTTTCATCGGCAGACCTCACTTCCTCTGTCAGGCTAAATATGGACTATAACTCCCTGGAGACTATCAAATATCCTGTTATTGACCTAACAAACCACAGGCCCACACAGAGTTTCCCAAGAATAGACAGAAAAAGCACAAATAATTGGGTTGGCATTAACTAGGATGCATTTTCTCAACCTGCAGGCTTATTATATGTTCCAAAACAAAAAACAAAGTCCATAGTTTGCTAAGACAAAAAAAAAGAAGAAAAAAGCGGACAATTTCTGAGACTGTTCACTGAGCTTTTTCTGATCATTCTAATTTAGTTGTTTCTCGAGATAAATTACAGTGGTGGTGCACTTTGAAGAGGCTTAAACAACTTTCATCCATCTTTCGAACAGACAACACTGGCAAGGAATCTTGTTTATTGTGATGGAAAGGTTAGTGAGAGTGACCTTTAAGGCCATCACTCCAGTGACAGGGCCCATGCTTTAGTTAGTAGGAAATGCCACCAGCATCCTCAGAAGCCCTAAAGGGCACTGGGAGGGAAGGTTGCTGCCTCTTTCTTCTTGCAATGATGAAAAGTGAGGTCAATGGCCTTGCCTAAGGTCACAGAGCAGCTGGTGCAGGGCAGACAGGCAACAAGAGCTCTGTGGTATATTCTTCGTGTTGGAGATTTTTATTTTCACTCAATGGCTTGCCCACACTTCTCTCCTCATGACATGGTAAAGGCCCCTTCTCTTACTGTTCAGGTAAAGTACACGTAACATAACAAGGGCAAAGGACTGTAGGAAAAATATTAATGCTTCTTTGTCTTGTTGTTGTTGTTTAACATAAAATAGATGAAATGCCAGCAGGTGTCAGCAGAGCCCTGGAGTTTTGTTGGAAAGTAGTTTACCAGGAGTAAACTTGATGACTATCAACTTGTTTGACCATTTCCAGACTAACAGAAGCAATAAACCACGAATTGGATAATTTTTTGAATTGCTGAAAATAAGCTCCTGTGGTAATCATCTACATAGTGACCAAGAGGCGCATTTTCCAGTTTTTGGAATACAAGTCATTGGCTGGATGGCAACATGACTTGTGCCACAGTCATGAGACTGTGATGACTCCTGAGATGACTCCTGCCACACTGGGCACTTTCCTTCTGGTCCGGCCATCCCAAGCCAAAGCCTGAGTCTGGGTTCTAGGGAACCAGACCAGAGGAGGTCATCTCTGATGTTCAGATCAGCATAGTTTCCCTGCTTCCCTAGTAGCTTGTTAATTGTTACTGTTCTCTCATTTTTTTAACCTTTTCTAACCATTCCTAAGTTAACTTAAAGCGTATTTCAGCCCTTCTAAGAAGAAGGGGGAAAGAAAGACTCTTCAAGGGACTTGAGGGCTTGTGCTGAATTGTTTGGAGGGCAAGGAGAGAAAGAGAAGCTGACTCTAATTCTTTCCTGGAACTTTTGACCTCTCCCCTGGGACTCCTTAAATTTATTTTCACCACCAAGACTCTGTCCAACTTCTAGGCAAATGTTTAGACCTTGCCCTTACCCATCTATCACCTTTACTCCAGGAACATTATGACTGACATAGACAAAAATAATCCCTTTCCCATGAAAATACAAACGTAGAGAGACACAGATACAACAAACCCAAACAAAAAATACTATGAACTTACACTGAGCATATATTTTACTTTTTTCTTTTAAAAATATTGCTTGTTATGAAAACAATATTTAAATTGTTTCCCCCATGTTTCCCCCATGTTATGAAAACAATATTTAAATATGCTTCATAGGAAAATGTAAAGCAAAGAAATATACACTAAGAAGCAAACATCGCCCCAAATCTCATGACGTATATTAAGAATTGGCCACCAATAACATTGTGCCATCAGCATTTCCTTTTTTTGTTGTTTTTCTAAGATGGAGTTTTGCTCTGTCACCCAGGCTGGAGTGCAGTGGTGCTATCTCGGCTCACTGCAACCTCTGCCTCCCAGGTTCAAGTGATTCTCCTGCCTCGGCCTCCTGAGTAGATGGGATTGCAGGTGCCCGCCACCATGCTCGGCTAATTTTTATTTTTATTTTTGTACTTTTAGTAGAGACGGGGTTTCGCCATGTTGGCCAGGGTGGTCTCGAACTCCTGACCTCAGGTGATCTGTCCACCTTGGCCTCCTAAAGTGCCGGAATTACAGGCGTGAGCAACTGCGCCCCAGTTTGCTATTGGTATTTCTAACCTTTCACTAGGCACAGGCTGGTCTGTCATCCTAAAATAACTAGTCCTATTATTCATCAGGCAGCACTATTTCCAATCTTAGAGTTCCAATCTTATCTCTAGTTTTTGATCCTGAAGAATTATTTTTAGTCTTTGGTCAAAGAAGCATATTGTCAACGGAAAAATGAACAGAGACCCTGTGGCACTCTCCAAGTTTGTGACATGATTTTCTCCAAAGGGACTCAGTAGCATCCTCCTTCATCTTTTGATGTTTGGCTCTCTGTTTTCACAGAAGAGACTACTGGTGAAGTCATCTTAACTAAGTTGTTCAAAAGTTAACTAGAGGCTTGTTATTAAAATGTAGTCCAGGGACCAGCAGCATCAGGATCACCTGAGAACTTGTTAAAATGTAAATTATCAGGCCCCAGGTTGAATCCATCTTTAGGATGGGAAATAGGAATCTGTGTTTTAATCAGCCTTCCATGTGATTCTTTTGCACACAGACACACACATTTAAGAAGCACTGTTCTAAACCCTTACTACTCAAAGGGCCCCTAGACCAACAGCATCAACATCATCTGGGAGCTTGTTAGGAATGCAGAGTTCCAGGTCTCATCCCAGAACCATGGAAGCAGAACCTG